GACAACCGCGTGACGGCCGGCCAGGCGTCCTCGCGCAAGACGTACGACAAGGTCTTCAAATCAGTGGTCGAGCAGGCCGATGTCGTCCTGTACGTGCTCGACGCGCGCGACCCCGAGGGCACACGTTCCCGGGATGTCGAGAGGAGCGTCATGGCCGCTGCGTCGGGCGGTAAGCGTCTGATCCTCGTCATCAACAAGGTCGATCTCGTGCCGCCCAAGGTCCTGCGGGACTGGCTGGTCTACCTACGACGGTACTTCCCGACCCTGCCCCTCTGCGCATCCAACGCTGCGCCCAATGCGCACACCTTCAACCATCGCGACCTGACCATCTCGAGCACCTCAACGGCGCTGTTCAAGGCGCTCAAGAGCTTCGCGGCTAGTAGGCAGCTCAAGCGTGCCGTGTCGGTTGGCGTCATTGGCTACCCCAACGTGGGCAAGTCGTCCGTCATCAACGCCCTGCTGAGCCGGATGGGTGGCAAGGGCGCCTCGGCGGCCAGGGCGTGCCCGGCGGGTGCCGAGGCGGGTGTGACGACGAGCATTCGCCAGGTCAAGATTGACAGCAAGCTCACACTCCTCGACTCCCCCGGTGTCGTGTTCCCCTCGTCGACGGGCAGTCTGGTGTCGGTGAAGAACGCCACCGAGGCGCACGCTAACCTGGTGCTCCTCAACGCCGTGCCCCCGAAGCAGATTGACGACCCCATCCCGGCTGTGAATCTGCTCCTCAAGAGGTTGTCTGCCACGCCGGACCTCGTGCAGAAGCTGTTGAAGGTCTACGACATTGCGGCCCTCATGCCGAACCAGGCGGATGGCGACGTGACAACAGACTTTTTGGTGCAGGTCGCGCGGAAACGAGGCAGGCTTGGACGCGGCGGCGTACCGAATCTCGGCGCCGCAGCCATGGCTGTCGTGACCGACTGGAGAGACGGTCGCATCCAGGGCTGGGTCGAACCCCCCGTCCTGCCGGTCGAGTCGTCTGCCGAGGCGGCGGCCAAGCCGGTTGACAAGGTTGTCTCAGGGGAGGAGGTTTCTGCGGCGGACCAGAAGCAGATTGTCACGGAATGGGCGGCTGAGTTCAAGCTCGACGGGCTGTGGGGTGACGACGCCCTCAAGGCTGACGATGCAATGGAGCAATAGAGTGGGAATGGAGAGGGGGGAAGCATAAGTAGCTCATGACTTCTTTACGAGTTTGGCGTTTAGGTTCACCGGGAAAATACAGGCTCTTCTTCTTGATGTTCATTTCTTTCTTCCATTGTATTTTCTCTTTGTGACTCTTTGATTTTGGTAATATCCTCCACGTCTATGCACTAGTCAACTCCATCTTGACGCCTCTCTTGCCCGTCATTTCATCCTTCTCGTCATGGACTCTAACCCTGACCTTCTGGAAGAGTTCCACAGTCACCTCCCTGCTGCCCTTGGTCTTGAGCGTGTAGTTCTCCGCGTCAAACTCGCTGTCCGGCTCTGGCTCCGCGAGGTCTCGCAACCTGATGAGGCCCTCGATACCGAAACGGGGCACGAGAACGACGAAGCCGTTGCTGAAGATCTTCATGACAAAGGCGTCCTCCTCGGCCACCTGGCCCTTGAGGGCTTGGCCGACATAGTACGCGATGCTGGCGCGACCGGCCATTTGGGCGTTACGGTGGCGGACGTTGATGTTCTTGCACACAGCCTCCAGACGTCCCCGGCTTCGGACAGTCGGGTGCACGGCCTCGTAGTTGATAGCCGCGGCCAGCTGCCTGTGGGCGACGAGATCGGCGTATCGACGGATGGGCGATGTGAAGTGGGTGTAGATCTCCGAGGCGAGACCGTAGTGCCTGAACTCGGGGTAGGACTGCGTGCCGGAGCAGAAGTACTCGGCACTCATCATGCAGCGCGTAGCCATGATGCGCACGAGGGTGTTGAAGAAGGGCTCTTTGGGATCGACACACTCATCCAGCGAATCGGCCACGGCCTTGGACGAGTCGGAGCGCAGCTCCAGGCCGCGCTTGACCTTGAGCTGGTTGGAGAGCTCGTCAAAGTTCGTCTTGGGCGGCGCGGCGTGGCGGCGGAGGATGGCCGTCTGCGGGAACGCCTCGTAGATCTTGGCGGCGACGCTGATGTTGGCGAACAGCATGAACTCTTCGACCAGGGAGTTGGTGTCAAGGAGCGCCTTGGTCTTGACGTCAATGGGCCCGCTCGTCTCCGACTCGGTCTGCACCTTGACTTCGGGCGACGACAGGCTGAGGGCGCCGGCGTCCATGCGCTTCTGCTTGAGCTTCTTGGAGAGCATGAGGAGCATGCGCATGCCGTTTGTCAGGTCGTCCTGCTGCGAGGCATCGTCGATGCGCAGCTGCGCTTGTTCGTAGCTGAAGGCCTCGCGCGAGGCAATGACAGACTTGGTGAAGCGCACGTTGACAATGTCGGCGTTGTCGTTCAGCTCCCAGAGCACGGAGAAGGCGTAGCGCTCCACGTAGGGCTTGAGGGAGCAGAGGTCGGTGCCGAGCAGGGGCGGCAGCATGTCAATGCGCTTGTCGACGAGATACACCGTGGTGCCGCGGATGCTGGCCTCCGTGTCCATGGCGTTGGCGGGCTTGACAAAGTGAGAGACGTCGGCAATGTGCACGCCCACCTCAAAGTTGCCGTTGGGCAGCTTCCGCGCGTGCAGGGCATCGTCAATGTCCTGACACCCTGGGGGGTCGATGCTGCAGATGAGGAGGTTCCGGAGATCTTCTCGGTCGCGCCAGCCAGGGTCGTCCGTGCTGGCGGGTACTTTCCAGCCATGGCCTTCGCTAGGCAGACAATCGAGGACGGTCTTGGGGAACGGTCTGTACTGTACATCCCACTCGAGCAGCAGGGCCTCCGTCTCGGCGGCCTTGGTCTCGAGCTCACCCAGTGAGCGGATAAAGTGTCCTGTGGGATGCCTCGAGTCTCTCTCCCATGCATCGATGGCCACGAGCAGACGCTTGCCCATGAGCTCTGACGCCTGGCGGGTGCGCAGGCGGATCTTGGGGATCTTCTTGTCCATGGGAATGAGGAAGACGTTGTCCATGCGTCGCCCTTGCGTGGACCCCTTACTAGCTGACGAAGGGTCGATGTGGCCGACATACTGGCGCCAATTGCGCTTGATGATACCGACCACCTTGGCAGTGGGCTGAGGTCCGCCTTCAGACTTGACCTTGTGCGTTTTCTTGACCTCCTCTTGCAGGGCCTTGCGCTCCTTCTCGGACACGAGGTCCTGGGATTCCTCTGCATCGGCACCCTCGTTCTTGGTGATGGCCTCTTCCTCGATGATTTTGGTAGAGGGTTCCTTCCACTGGTCCTGCGGCAGGACCTCCACGACGACAAGATCGCCGTCGACAGCGCGGTTGATGTTCTCGCGACCGAGCACGAGCAGCGCCTTGGGGAAAGCAGGCACCTTGATGGACCCTTCGAGGTAGTTGTACGGCGAGACGTTGAAGATGCCCTGATGCATCAACCCTGCCTTGACGCCCGTCATCATTCTCGATGTTGTAAAGTGCTCGGGGTACAGCATCTGCCCTGGTTTCTTGAAACCACCGGAGCTCTGCACGTCGGCGACCATGTCCAGCAGTTTATCACTATCCTCCAGCGTCTCCACGTACTGTCTCAGCGATGCGGCGTGGAGTCCTTCTGCCTTGGCCTTGCGTAGGTTCTCCTGGTCGTCAGACAACATGACCACGGCGGGGATGTTTTTCGCCTTGGTCTGTGCCAGATGCTGCCCGTACCACTTTAGAGCTTGCCGCACAGCGCGGTCATTCCTGTCGTTGACGGTCTCGTCAGGGTCGCGGTTGACAAACGTCTCCTGGCGGAAGTCGTTGAAGAAGACATAGAAGCGCTTGTCCTCGCTCTTTGTCAAGCCGAGGAGACGGTTATACAGCGGCAACGACCTGTTCTGTAGCTCCTCGAGGACTGTCTGCAAGATAATGACGTCGTAGAAGGAGGAGCTCTGCTCAAACAAGTCCATCGCGTTGAGGAGAGCATTTGTATCTGGCATCAGGTAGTGGCCCTGAGGGAAGCTCTTGGTCCCTGCTGGCTTCTCAGAGAGCACAAAGGGCTGGACTGGCAACAGGTTAGTCAACGGGGTTCCAGAGATTTTGAGAGACACATTACCCTCATTGGCTGCATTCCGAGGTGCGCTCTGCAAGCATGCCTTGCAGAGCTTCGACGAGCATGGAATATCGGTTCGGAGATAGACTTCTCTCACAATCTTCTGGACCTTGCCACTCCGCGTGGACCGCACATACGTTTTGTTTGAGATGTTGGATCCGAATGTATCGCCTTCGGCACTTCGTTTTAAGCTCGTCATGGTGTAGATGGCCCAGCAGACCTTGTGAGGATGTGATATGAGTGAGTTTGCAACGAGCTTGAATTTGCTAGGCGATGAAAATGATGATGACCAAAGTGAAGAGACCCACTCTATTTCTTATCGATAACGACTGATGTCGGAGACTTTTGACCAAAGGCTTCGGTCAACGTGATTTTGACTCAATACATCCATCCTCATGGCCTTTCGGAGGTGTTGATGCGATTGACTCATCCAGACTCTCCTTCGCCCGGCTTTTCTGAGGGCTGGTCGTCGTAAATTTCCGACGCCTGTGAACGATACACAGCACACCAAGTACATGTACACATCATGTATACGTTTGAAGCGTCATCATGCTTTTGGCGACAGACTTTAATTCTTCCGTTTCCTTCTTCCGAGGGAAACAGATACTGGCCACCGAGATGATTTGGCGAACAGCAGCATGTAGAAAAGGTTCTGAGGAAACGCGGCAACAATCTTCTTCAGTTTCTACTCGAGCGCCCCCCACGACGCAAATACAGTGCTCGTACATGTACTTTGCTTACCCGTGCTCTCAGGATATGCAGGAATACTACGTACCCTACCGGGGTCAGACAGGATAGAAAGCTCCAAGGAACACGTTCCAATCATGGCCTCGTTACCTTCAGTCTTTTCCAATTTACCCATTCCCTCCCTACCTTCAGCATCAGCCTTAGCACCAGCCATGCCGACACTATCCTTTCACCCCAGTCCGTCGTCGCTGACAGCACGGCTTGAGCGTGTCACATACAGTCGACCTGACTGCTCTGCAGCTCTGCGTGGCTTCTCGCTACCGCAGCACCTCGGTAACGATGTGGTCCGGCTTGCGCTTGTGGCCGGAATCCGTAGACACGTTGACCTTGCGCGTCTTCCCGAGCTCGCCGATTTGTGCGCTTACAGCAGCGCCCAGAACGTCTTCGCGCGAGCTCGCAACGCGAGGCTCATCATGAGCGGCGAAATCCCTGCGCAAGACATGATGGGCGAAGATTGCCTCCCATACTGTATCTGGCACCCCGAAGTAGCTACCGAGGACACATATAGGGCTCTGGCCACTCAATACCCCAGCATGAAGTACCAGGTCGGGCGAGCGTGCGCAGTGGGTGGCTATATTGACCTATACCGCGAGCTGAATCTTCTCCCTGATACGTCCATCGCCGAAGAGGCTCGGGAAAACGGGGGCGTGCAGGGCGCGCGGGAAATTTACCACTTGATCATGGCCACACCAACCCGCTACAAAGTCATGGATGACTATACGCGAAAGATCAGCAGTTCTCCTCGTGCTGGTGCACAACTCAACGCCGACACGGCCGTCATCGCCAGCATGAAATCGACTAGAAAGCATTCCGCCGACTTTCCTGCGCACTGGAGACCTTTTAACATCAGCGAGGACTGGGGCATCGCCGAGAAAAGTGTCTCCCCGAAACCTGCAGCACTTGGTTCTGCAGAGATGGAACTTATCGACGGCCCTCTGCCACCTGATCTGCCAACAATGAACAAACATCTGCTCATTCTCATGGCTGCATATATGGGCAATGTCGACCGTTATGCTCGCTTACGTCGGCCCTGGCCAGTCAAGGCGGAGCTCAAGTGCCTCCTGCGCGGCATCTACCACAGCACCTTTATGGCGACGTGGCTTGCCAGGAACGATAGCATTGTCATTGCCGTGGGACGGCATCCAAGCGATATCAAGGCACTACGGCGGGCGATACACGCACGTCGTGTCATGAATAACGACATAGCCCACATCACAGCTCGCAACGAGGCAGGACAATGGATTGTGCCAGACAATGAGCTGCCATATTGGACCTGGTACCCTACAATGCCCCAGCGCCAGGTTATGGCGCGTCTCGCTCAGCTCCGTCCCACCATGGCGGCAGCCTGCTTGCGAGTGTGCATCGCCGCCAACTATCGTGAGGACTATGAAGAAATCATAAATCTACCTGGCGTAGTACCAGATTCGGCCATGCAGTTCGAGGCCGGGCTACACGGCTGGGGAGACTACTACGCAGAAGACATTCTGCGCCGACAAGAGGCATTGGGAATCAAGCATCTGGCCGCTGACTCGAACTGGGAGTGGAAGGAGATGGACCCCTGGCGCGAAGGTAACCCGAGTAGCGTGGAGCTCTTGGGCGAGTTGAGGGATTGGCACGAGGCGGTGAGCTCAGGACAAGATGGTGGGATGTACGAGGGGATGGGATTGGAGACGGGGAGGATCGAGCTATGGATGAGCTGCCCCCCTTGGGTTCGAGATGCAGCGAGGACAAGCAAGTATGGGTTCCTCGCGGATGTGAGCAGCGCCGTTTTCCACGAAGAGTCCAAGAAGCCGAAGCTAGATGATAGGACATAGGTTTCCGCCTTGGTTGCATTGAATTCAGCGGACTGCTCTCAGCAGTTCGCAATCCAATCTCTCAAGTCTTGCTATCATGATCTTGCTGTTCTACTTCTGCTCGTGCCAAGACTGGACGTGCTTGAATTGTTCTGCATTCGAAAAGTCTACAGTGAACCTGAGCCGCCGTACCTTGGTGTTCTTGGCTCGTGTCGTTGCTAGCGAGATCAAGTGTCTCTCGCAACGACTTGCCATATTTCCATAGCAGGTTTCAGGACAATGGATAGCCGATATTTCGAACAACACTCACCCTTTCGGCCAGACTAAGACGATGAAGTTTTACAACAGCTCCTTTACTTTATGTAGAAGGACCCACTCTTCAGATATAATCATATTGGTGAGGTAGGTAGTGGCTAGGTTCAGTCGGAGCTTAGCCTGGCTCAGTCTACTCGTAGAAGCGGCACTACTTAGGTACTTTACATCCGTTTAAAAATCCGGATGGTCACATCTATCTTCCTGGCGAAAAAGTGGCTCATCGTAGCAAGGCCCCGGAAATCCGAACACTCAACTGTCCTCGAACACGAGACCCATGTTGGTCGGAGAGCGGCGAGATTGGACGCGAACACGCGGGTGCGGCGCAGCAGATGGAGATGCTCGCGTTGGGACAGGGAAAGCTGACGTCGTTGCGTTTGCTCAAGGCAGCAGTGAGATGACGAACTGAACTCTCACCCCTTTTCAGAGACGCGTTGCGTAATGTGATTACCGCGTATTGATCGAGCACCGCATCATAGCAATGCGCAGATGACAGAAAGAGGAGAAGCTGATGATGTCGTTTGCGTAGGTCATGTCGTGAGCGCATGACCATGCGACTCCCGCAGCGAAGAGGCAAGACACGCTCTGGCAGAAGCGTCTCACATGACAAATGCGGCTGTGAGTCACTTTGGAACCAGCACCGTTTTGAACGGAGATCGCGCGACGCCTCTAATTAGTCAAATGGTTCACGCCTGGCGTCAGCCAACATGGGCATCAACGCCCCTGGTCTGGGGTCGGCAGCCGATCGCTCCCGTCGCTCGCCCCTCACACACAAAGGAGCGCGCGACACTACTGCAGTGGTGGACTGGGCGGCATGCGGCCGCCCATGATGACCTGCTTCATATCAAGATTGTCATTACTATTATGGTGCTTGCTCGTTGAGCTTCGGTTATACGTATCACCAACGACTGGACGTTTCCGCCGCTTCCGGAGATATTGATTATCGCCCAAAGTCCATGTCCGCATCGAGGAGCATAACGGAGTCTTGTGGCATGGACTTGGTAGCAGCCTCAGGTTCAGGTTCCCCGTACCTCCGTACAGACAAGAGCAATGATTAGTACTATTAATTATAGGTGGAGTATATCATTATCATTACAGGATAGCTGAGCGACGCGAAACACGGCTCGCTGAACCTTGGCTTGACGCTATCGCCAATTCCGGCGACTGGACAAACATGCGGGGTTCGATCCCGTTGTCCTAATCACGGAACCGCTCACACCTCCGAGGTCCGACAGCAACAGCCTCTGGACGGTCTGGTCGAGATAAGAGACGAACAATTGTCAAGGAGCGTCAACATGAAATAATAAGCAAGGGACATGTAGGCACTACGGCATTTGCCGTCTTGATGCTGTCATTAGTTACGAAACAGAGCTTCAGGACTTTGCTGGACCTTCGAGAGAGGGCCAAGAGGTCCAAGACCCCTTTATATGCTATCAGAGTCAACAGACGAGTCGCGACCATCCCGAGGCTATTGATGTTTCGATCGCAAGTGAGCTCTTTGCTCTTCATTCAACTTTCTGTGAGACAACGAAAGGTCCTCAACCGCACAAGGACCTCGGAGCTGTTAGACACTCAGATGATTCCTATAGGAAGGAAAATGTCCAAGTATAACTGACCTCTTTACATGTAGCTGCGTTTGACGGCACTACCTCCAAGTGCTGGACGTAATCTTATGCAAATGTGGATGAATCACTGGAGAATCCTGCTCCGGGAAAAAAACTCTCGTTTTAATTAACAAGTAGTTCATGTCTTGTGCTTCGAGCAGTTATTCAGCTGTTTATCAGCAAGTTTATCTACAGACATGGACCTGGGGGTTCAGAAACACTGGGAAGTGATTCCCCTACTACAACCATTTCTAGACGCGATAGAATATTACATGAACGAGCTCGTGATTACTTGCTTGAAAATGCAATGCATATGAGATAAATGGGCACATACATGGATATCATACTATTTGATCATGGCTGACTTGCATATGCCATGCAGAAGCTTGATGCATGGAGCAGCGCAGGCTGCCACGCTGGGGAGGTCGTTTCAAGCTTGATATGATGGATGTGGTTGTCCCCTTCCATCCATGTCTCTTGTCCCTACGAGTGGTGCTTGCTAATTCGTGCAGCAATGTACGTACAATACGTCCATCAGGCCGCTGCGGCAGACCGAGAACTGGCTTGCATCAATGTCATCAAGATGGCGCAGGTGATTGGCGGCTGCCGCGGCTGCCCAATCAGCCGTCTAGGTTGGGCATCGTATAGCTCCGCCAAAGCCCGGCCGTTCAAGCCTGAAATCTGGATTTGATTCGTCGGACGGTTTCGGCGCGCGTGAGTGGGATTTGGTGAATACGTGTTAAGTTAGGACATGGAGGCTTGACGATCTTCGCCCCAGCGATTTGATTTAACTTAAGAAACGACAAAAGATAGACGACATACATCATCTGCCTCTGCTTGTCACGCAGTAATACTTCGCATTATCCTTATTCAAAGTCCAGCAGTTGCTTGCTGCACTGCGCACTCAAGACAGTGCGTGGCTATTGCTCACTGATTACCTGCATAGGCCCCCCCGCTCCGTGAATGATACCAGGGACTTACAGCGACATGAGTGGTCCATGTCGTTCTTGCCCGTCCGTCCGTGCCTTCCACAAGCCTGCCTTGTACCTTAGCTTGCCTGCCTGCCTTGGCCTGGCTTGACACGGCCTGCCTGCAGCCTGCCCAGTGCCAACTGCCCATCTCCGTCTTCCCACATCCAGACCACCAGGCTCATTCGGCCCATGCATGGAATGACTTTCATTCACATTGATGGAATTGGGCTCCGTCGCGATCTCTTTGCAGCGCGAGACGACAATGCTGCCAACATCGCCAAAACTGCTTTCCACCAGCGCTACGGATACTAAGGGACCGGAGCTATATTCAATCAGCAGGTAGGTCATTGGTGGCGAAATCCGTTCCCAGCAGATGCTGATTCAATGTCGTCTTGTTGATTATCCAAGTTTAGCGGCACCCCAGTTCCGAAGAACGCGGCGCTAATTACGCCTAGCTCGCCATCAGGCTTGGATTCGTAACGGTCATTGTAACGGTTCGTCCAGGTCGACTGTGTCAATTCAATTGCAGCAACGGCACAGACGCACGCACGAGTATCGCTACCAACGAGCCATCTGTGTCTTGGAACGTTTCGAGCTTCGAAGAGAAGGACGGATCCCGATCGCTCCGTTCGACCCAGCGCATTGCCATTCAGCTACACCCCGTTGCCCTTCCCTGTCCAGGGTCACCACACGGCCAGACTTTCTCCTCTCCACCAACACCACCATCACCTACCACCACCACCACACCACGCTTCGGGACAAGAGCCTCGCAGCGATCGTCTTTCTTGGTGCGACTAGCCAGTCAACTGTTTTAGGCGCGGCGATTCCATCAATACTATCGTCAGTCCAACTCTCCAAGGTCAGCCACGGGGGAAGCTTTGTCCGTTTGTCGCTCAGCCGGCCCAGCCCAGCACAAGTAGGCGCCACTTGCGCTCCGAGCTTCTCCACAAGTTCGCGTGCTTGCTTGCGACACAAGCACCGCGCGCGTGTGCACCATCCAAGCGACCACCATCCATCATCAACACTACGTACCGGATCGCATCGCATTGCGTCGCGGTCGTTTATACACAAGACACATCACACCCTGGGACAGCGCGACTCCAAAGTCCGCAGAAGCACACACTTTTGAAGTAAGTGCTGATGTACTTCACGCCCCTACCATCATCTGCATTTCTCAGCAGCATCGTCGGTCGCACCCAAGGCACCGCCACCCTCATCATCATCACTGTGATTACTGCCATCAACTCCATTGCGCCGCATCGTCGCGCGTGCTTGACTCGCCCTTGTTGCAAGTCGCAAAGCCCTCTTTTCATATTTCACCCAAAAATCTATACCTTGGCAACCACAGCGACACCAGAATCTTTCGCTGGGTCGTCTTTCTCATTGTCACTTCAGCTCTCCCACTCAAGCACTGTCATCATCATCATCATCATCGTCACACACACACACACAGATGCGGGCGCACGCGCATTGTTCAACGCTCGACTAAATACTGATATCCTACTCACAGACTGTCGGCTTTTTCTTGATCCCATTGGATATACCCTCTTGAAAGGTAAACAGCCATCCCGTTTCTTTACTTCCTCCCCCATCTCCCCTCTTTGCGCCTCCGCCTCAGTCCCGCGTCCCTTAGTTCCATCATCGCGTCGCGTATCCGTCCCCCTCAAGACGGCCAAAAGGCATGGCTCGAACACTTCTTTCATGTTGACGCCCCTGTCCACGCTGTTTTTTTGGCATTTTCCTTTGGTCGCATCCACGCCTGGGCATGATCCCAACAGCCTGGGTTCATCCCTCCCGCCACCTTTGTCGTCGTCATCAGTTGTCATCGAGGGCTATGCCAGGCTTGGTCGCGCCAGGCGCACGGGCGCAGTGATGTGCTTTGCCAAGCTGCTTTAACACTGCTGCTACAACGACCCAGACAGACAACTTGTGCGTTTCGCGCAAGTGTTGAGATGTTTCGTTGGGTATAACCGCTTGATCAATGTCGTCTATAGCTTGCTGCAGCACCAGCAGCTGTATGCGCCTCCACACACACTGCCGCGCGCGCACACACACCCAAGGGAAGCACCACACCACAAGTGCCCACCATCATCGGACAGGACCCATTCGCAGCCTGCGTCTAGCCGTTGCAGCGGCCTTGTCGCTGGGTCGGGTCAACATATTCCAACACCGACTGGTTGCTTCTGGCTTGTCAGCCTCGGGATCGGCTTTAGGAGCTGTTCATTGTATGCACGCTTGATCCTGCGGAGGTCTGTCATGCCTGCCCATGTGCTGCATCATCGTCAATACCCCAGGTTTCGCCAGCCCAACTATAACACGACACGTCGCCAACCCGTCACATCGTCAACCTCCACATCACCGTCGGCTTGGGTCGTCCCTGGCCGTCATGTATGCCGCCCGCCGTGATGGCGCCGATAGTGGCACCATTGATCCCGCCGCGCTCAATTCCCCTGGTGAGTACCTGACTCTTTTACTCTCATCCTGCCATGTGTCAGTCCAGGCCCTCACCACCATCCCATTCAACATCCTCCACCCCTCCACCACCACAACAGCAACTGTCCCACCCCCATATCGCCATTCCTCCCGGCCGGGTCTTGTATGTTGTCGGCCTCCAAGACGGGGCCTGTGCCCATCACAGCCCGAGCTCCGTTTCGGGCCTCACTTTTCACCCATGTCCCATCGTCTGTCCCACGTCAAGGCATGGCCCATGGTGTCGCTGTCGGCCAGCCGCCTGACACCATGTACCTGCTATAAGCTAGATGAAAGCCAGATGTATATTAATCATTACGTCTAGCGGAAGCCTTTCTGTGTTTATATTGATATGAGTTTGTAATCCATACTAATACTATTTGCAGGTTCGTCATCGCCGCAGCTCCGTGTTGCAAAGCATGTGGCATCCGGAGCGCCGGTACCTGAGCTGCGTATGTGGTCTGCCTGCTGCAACATGGCACAAGGTTTCAACTCGAAAGACTGAGCTACAACCTGACTTCACTGGCGTTTGCCTTTTACGATAGGCTTTGGCTTGAAAATGGACTGCTCGGCAAAACTTCAAGTGAAGCTAACACGGATTTGTTCATGCAAGCATGCGCGACGCGTCCGACAGCTCTTCGCGTTTCTTCTTTCTCGCGCCTGGCTGATATTGTTCGACTCTGATTTTTACACTCGCAGTTCGAGCACTGGCTGATACCACGTGTCTAGGCTACTCAGCATCTCCCAAACGGAACCTTGCGAAACCTATATCATCTGGCAACGCCACGGTAGGCGGCCCATCAGGACACCACAGACCATCGGCCATGTCGCAGTTACCGCCCCACCATACACAGGGGCAGGATCATACCATCCCTCCCCAAGTGACGCAGACCTATGTGCCGCCGCCAGCTCCGGCTGCGCCGGCGCCAAAACCGGCGGCCAAGACTGTGAAGGCTCTGCCCACTGTCAGAGACCACACGACTGATCAACTGAACGAGGCACATGATGAGTATATTCCTCGCGAAATCGACGAGTTTGGCGAGAAGAAGGTCATGGCCAACGGGACCCTTCTCGGGAACAGGCAGTACCGCTGCCGCACCTTCCTCGTCCCTAACCGCGGGGATAAGCTGTTCATGCTGGCTACCGAATGTGCGCGAGTTCTAGGGTATCGTGATTCTTACCTGCTCTTCAACAAGAACAGGTCTCTTTTCAAGATCATTGCCACCCAGCAGGAGAAAGATGATCTGGTACAGCAGGAGATCTTGCCCTTTTCATACCGCTCGAGGCAGATCGCCATCGTTACAGCGCGGTCGATGTTCCGGCAGTTCGGCAGCAGAGTGATCGAGGGTGGACGACGGGTGCGGGATGATTATTGGGAACAGAAAGCGCGCAAACAAGGATTTACGGAATTGGATGCAGCCGGCGAGAAACGGCCAGGAGCAGCCAAGGCGAGGGAGCAAGCTGAGGCGGCACAGAACAATGTCATGCTTCCCGGTACCCACACGGAGATTGTCTACAACAACAACCCGGCTGCGTTTCCTGCAGGCCCTCCCCAGCCTCCCATTCTTCAACCAGGTATGATGGGAGCACCACACGGAACCGTTCCAAGGATGCCTGGATTAACTAGCGGATCAGAACTCATGGACACGCGGCCTCGTGACTATAGCGGCATCGTCAAGGGCGGACCTCGCCAGGAGATTACCGGTCCTCCGTATCAAGATCAGACGCGGCCTACCTCTCTCAGCGAGATTGGCTCACAGGCCACGCACGCCAACGACTTTAGCCGCTCCATCAACCAGGCTCGCGACATGCGCACCGACTACCTTCAGGGAAGCTGGCGACGACCTCACGAGCAGCCGTCCTCCGGTCTTGCGCAGGGGGTTGCGTCCGATACGACCATCCCGACATCGCGACCCACGACGTCCCCTCACGCCACAGCTAGCAGCATCACACAGCCTCCAATCACATCGCAGAGCCCGCAGATGATGATGACGAACCCGCCGTATACGCAGTCGCTACATGCACACAACCAGCCGCCTATGCGATGTACGTATACGTCTACCATGGCAAGAAAATGTCTGTGCTAATATGTTCCCAGCTGGATCTACAGGCAGTGTCGGCCAGGGTGCTCCTAACTACAGCTACCAGCCTGGCCAGGCCATGTGGTCGAACCCGCAGCAGCAAGGCTACGGCAGCTACACAACGCAGCCTCAACATGCGTCGCAGTCGCCAGCACCACAGCTCCGCCAGCCAAGCGGACAAATGCAGCAGGGCATGCAATTCCCTGGTATGGGCGGCATGCAATACGGGGCAGGTAACATCTACCCTGCTGATCAAACCCCGAGAGGCTACATGCCCCAGGGGTCGCCGACCCAGCCACAGCAATGGTCCGGACAGCAGCACTCGCAGCAGCAGCAGCAATGGTGGCAGCAGAATCAGCCACAGCATCCCCAGTAATTCATGGCCGAGCCACGATTCAGTCGGACTTGTCGGACTTGGCTGGCAACGACACAGCCAGTGCGGCGAGGGGTTGGCCTCTTGCGTGGCTGGATTACTTCTTGATACCCCTTCTTTTGCGGATTTAGGGTGGTTGCTTTTCTTCTTCTTCCTTGCACGGTCTTGTATGGTGGTTTGTTCCGGGGCCTGACGGGTGTCGGTCTTGGACTCAATGGTTTTTTTTTTTTTTTGGTTGAATGTGCAGGAGTCAGATGGCTTGGACAACACACGCTTCCTTGGGTCTTGTTGGAGATGTGGGTCTTTTTCTTGGTTATAACGCTTATTATTTCTGATGTTCCGAGATTGTCGGTTTATGACCTGGATCCTGTTTGTTGCAGCGTTCTGTCTTGTGGGCACGGAACAAGACGTCCTCCTCTTAGTCTAGTTGTATAGCTCTATGCTGGGCGGTCTTGTCAACCAGTGCTAATTTACGTACTATGCTTCCCGCGCGATTTGGATTGTACTCGTCAAAGCATGAGTACAGCATGCTGTGATGACCAGCTCTCACACACGTGCCCATGTGCCCCCCAGTGAGCACGACGCCAGGGGTGAACCATGACAGGAGGGTGGTTGCACCGTCCGGATCGCTGGATCGCAACCTGATCTTACTATGACCACACCACACCACGACACGTCCAATGTCGAGTGCCGAGGGAACCCCTCTGCACGACTTCATATTCACGACTTCCACTGCAGAAGCTGCGACACGTGGTAGTCCTACATGTGACACGCATGCGCGTAACCGCCGTAGCTGCTTTCCTATTCTCAATCACTCTCCTCCCCGTCCAAGGCCTCATCTCTCTGAGCCCGTTTCACCTCGTCTCCGTCATCCAGCCTCATCTCATCGGCACTCTCCGCCCTCGTCTCGTCCTCGTCATTGTCCTCGTCCTCGGGCACATCGTCATCGTCGTCGTCGTCCTCTGGCACGGGCGCCTCATCCTCCGTCTCGGCATCGTCTTCGTGCTCCTCCGGCGCGGACACTGTGGGGTCCACGCGCGGCTTCTTGCTGGTGTGCTGCTCCGGCAGCGAGATGGTTGAGTCCTCGCCGCCACCACCACCGGGCTGGGTCATGGAGACGTCGGCGGAGCCGGTCGGTGCGCCCTTGGACGCCTTGACCTTGGCGCGGTACGATGTGCGCTTCTCCGTCTGTATCTGGTTGAATTCTGTGGTGAGGTGCATCAGTATATGATCATGTAGAATGAAAGTGAGAGCACCAAGGGTAATGAGAAGGTGCAGGGAGAGAGAGACGTACTGGCAAATTCAGCTTCGACGCGGGCGCGTAGGAACCCGAACTCTGTGTCTTCGAGGGCTTTGAAGACGTCGGCTGGTGAGATTGTCTTCTTGTTGGCATTGACTGTGTGCTCGTTCGCACTGCGGAGTGTCAGCTCGTTGCTTTCACTCCAAACACACGCATCTCTAACATGATAGAGTATGCCCGGGGAACTATGGATAACGCACTATGAGGCTAGGTAGTTGACAAAGACTGTCGTGCTTTTGCTCATTGCCAGCACAGCGTTGGCTTGAATCTGCGTATTAGGCGGTAGCACGCCCTTGGCGAGCCTGGTGATGATGCTTTTCGGTAGTGAGAGGTCCTACTCATTCATCCCTCCGGTTAGCATGCTGCTCAGCGGTGACACGACTTGGGATTGCCTGTTTCGGATCACTTGGTAGGTCCGTAGTAAAGGAGAAATGCATACCTCGATAGCGTATGTGTCCTTGTCGCGTTTCTCGCCGCCCTCCTGATGGGACTCTGTGGGCGTCCCGGCTGCTGCCGCTGGCGCTGTCGTGGGTGCGGGTTCCACGTGCGCTGGCGCCGACTGGTCGCTTTGTGATGGTGTTGCCTCTTGCACATCGTCTTTCAGCGCGAATCGAGCTGTTGAGACATCGGACTTGCGCGGCGCAGCCGGTCCTGCTGGGTCGGACTTGCGAGGAGGCATTGTGGGCTCAGTCTGGCCAGGCGAAGTAGGTATGTCTGTGTGGTCGGCACAAAGATCCGTTTGAGCTCACGTGATATAGATCGAGCACCAGGATGAGGCACAAAGCAGGCAGTCGTCAATTCCAGGGAGCTCGTTGGTGGTGATGAATGAGAATGCGACAGTCGTTGAGTTGAATTGTCAGAGAGAGTCGAGACTAGACGCGTTTGGCTGGGCTGCACGACGCGGGTGGCCCCGCCAGACCGCGTTAAGTGGTTGGCGGGGGATGCGTGCGTGCACTAACAGACGTATGGTATGGAGTCTATGGACCGGCAAGATGGCATCGTGCGCTGCTTAGACTAGCGGGCGTTCAAGAATTATATTCAAAAAGACGGAACATATCGCTGAAAGTACTTGCTCTCCCATCACGTAAACAGTAGCCACCTCAAACAAATAAGACTCGCTCAAAGCTCACTCAGACTCGGACTCGGATCCAAAGTCATCATCATAACCGGTATCCTCATCCTGACTGATATCCTCCTCATCACTTTCCTCGTCTTCCGTGGCAGACTGCTGATCCGCGTCCTGGCTCTTGTCAGCTTTCCCACTCCACTCCGCTCCACTGATACAACGATCTGCAAGGAGGACTGGGACTCACAATCTTACGCCTCTTGGCCATGGGCTGCCGTGCACCCCTGGTCTTGTACTCGTTCTTGAGCTCGGGCATGTCGTACACGCTGTCGGGGAGCTGACGCCCCTTGGGCGCCGTGACGATGCCAAACTCGTAGCAGTACCCGCTGTTCTTGTCGCTGGAGCCGTATAAGCCGACGACAACCTGCCCCTCGCCTGGTTCTGCAGAGATGACTGTTAGTGTCCGGGTCGCCACGTTTGAAACCAACAAGGGTGGACTCACTAAGATAGCACACTTCCGTTCCATGACTCTTGTTCAGGGCCCCCATGGCCACCCCGTTGCTCAGCCACATCCTCAAGCCCGCCAACTGGTTACGTTCCCCTTGCTTGGTCACGGCCACCTTTGTAATCTCCACGCCCTTGGGGAGAGCAATCCTCTTCGCCTGGTGGCCGCCCATGTACTCCTCCGACTCGTGGGGGGAGCGCTTCGAGCAGGGGACCTTGGTGCCGTCCTTGTAGTACACCTCGGCGCCGTCGAGGATGCAGCCCACCGCGAGGTTGATCTTGTTGGCCGCGACCAGACGCCCGTCCCGCGCGCGCTTCTTGAGCATGACGGTCCACGACCAAAAGTCGGTGCCGCCGCCACGGGAGTCGACCGACTTCTTGAGGAGCTTGATATCCGTGTCGGGGATACGGATATAGGAGTTTTCCGACAACAGTTGCCAGATGTTCTGGGTCACCTTCTTGCCGTTGGCCGTGAGCACCTGGCACTCGAGCGGCTGGGTGCAATCGTACTGGGCCCGGAGAGTGTCGGCCTTCCATGAGAATCTCTGCGTCCGCTCCCTGGGCATGGGGCCGTACACCACCTGTTGACCCAGTGTGATGCGTACGAGAGTCGACGTTGTTGCCACCACAATCAATGGTTCGTTGCCGTCTTCGTCCTCCAGCTTGATCTCGGCCGGCTCCTGGGACACCTTTTCATCCTGTGGCAGGGCGAACTGGGGTTGATTCGCGAAGCGCAGCATATCTTCCAGATCCCATGTGCAGGCATGCCGCGTGTCCGGACGGACGTGCATCCCCTGCTGTCCCGTCTTGTTGCTCTTGGCCGTCCTGGCAAGGAAGCAGACGGCCCAGTCGCGGGCGTACCCGCGCATCATGATGCCGGTGGTGTGCGGCGCGCCAAAGGCGTGGCCCACCTCGTGGAGGAAAGCACCCTGCCCGACCGTGCAGGCCTCCCACATGGACTCGCACTCGTTGTTGTCGTTGCCAACAGTGACACCGGGGCGTGTTGTGTCGAGGAGGCACGAGGGGATTTCTTCGACGAATCGCGGCCACGAGTACGTCAAATGGCTGCCAAAGATACCCAGCGAGAGGCCCCTGGGGTCATGCGAGCCAAGAGCGGCATGGGCGAGGATGAGATCCTGCTCAATGTCGTTCTTGGCATCGAGGATGAGACCCGCGACGATGGGCTTCTCCTCTGCGACAAAGGGCGCACCGTGATTGTACAGGTCCTGCTTGAAGATCGTGTGCAGGTCGTTGGCCCGGCGGGCACTGGGGTTCTGTTGCGCCAGCTGGCTATCCCGCAGCTCTTTGACCGTCTTGCTGCTCTTGACCAGGTGCACCTTGATCACGGGCCCCATCTTCTCCTCCGCCGTCCTACTGAGCGTGTCGACGCCCCATTCTTCCTCGAGACGGAAGGCTCGGCGGCCCAGACCAGCCTTGTGCAGCTCAGACGCCGTGAGTGCCTGCCACATGAGGGCCGTGACGCGAAACTTGGCCACGGCAGCGTCAAGTGAAGAGTGTGCGCTCGAGAGAGCGGCGTGCTTGGCAGGGGGGCAGTCAATGAGCAGAGGCGAGTCCTGGCCAACCAGGATGGCGAGGTGCAGAGGTGGTGTCTGTATCAGTGGGATATAATTGAGGCGCAACTAGACATGTCCGTCAGTGCGAGGTTTCTCGACGGGTGAGAGAAAAAGGGGCGTGCTGCCTACCTCTGTCTCGTGGGCACCCGCGCCAAACACGACGACATTCTCGCCGGGGGAAACAAGGACCAGAGTTTTGAAGTATCCTTCATTGCTCACGGGCCATACGCTCTCCGGAAACGTGACGTTATTGCCAGGCGGACCCGTCTTGATGATGATTTTCACCGTCTCCTCGTTGGCGTTGAGCCCCTGGCAAGTGCCTGTGACGAGCACCGCGCGTTGGTGCACCGTCTCGCCGTCCGTAATGTTGTCAAAGGTAAACATGCTCGGTCTAGAAATCATGTCGTAGTCCATTTTTTGCTGCTGCTGCTGTGATGAAGCAGAGACAGAGCAGTTTACGAGAGGAATGCCCTCTGTTTTTGTAGGCGAGAGTAGTGGACATGGCTATTTAGGCAGCCGCGGGTCTTGGCGTTGTGAACTGAAGGCCTCGATCGCGAGAGACTAGAGCGTGAAGGAATCCGCAGGGGTCCGCTCTGGCCTCTAGCATAATAGTGTGCGGCCGAGAGCGCATGGCTGTGCGCGTTTACGGGCATTTTGAGTATGGTTTTGCACATTGGCAATGGCGTTGTGATGTCGCTGGATCGCTCACCCTGGCAAGGGCCTTAAGGCTGCCATGGTAGCCTGGCGTCTAGTATCCCGATTAGGGATTGTTACTCCCGATAGTAAAGAGGATCTCGAGAACACAATATCGCAGTGGGAAGCAGTCAGCGTCCGTGTGCGGTTGGATGTTCATTGCGGAAATCTCATGCATTCGTCGAAGCGTGGTAGGAGGACTCGGTCACGGTGACCAAATTGTAGATGTTGAGCTGCCTGTCCATGGGTGCCGGGTAAGTCGAATGGATACCCCCTTGATGCTTGGATGAACACGCGGGATGAAACCCACCGTACAGACGATGGCTGAAACTTCATGAATCACCTTTGAGAACGCTACAAATAAGCAGACACCATATTAACCAGGCTGTTTTGTGTTGACGAGGGCTGCATTCTGGCTGCATGTACGGATACCAGCGTTCTGTCAAAACTCCATGTAAAAGACCGGGTAGTGTAGCAATATATTTCTTGAATTGAATTGAACGTGTGTGCTGAAGTTCATTGCTGAACCAGCTTGCTACGCCATGGTAGCAGTAATCCCATCCTCCTCGTCCTCTATCATACGATCTGGTCCACTGTAGGCCAAGATCTTGGGTATCTCCATCTCCATCGTGTACTTGTAAACCGTCCTACGTAGAAAAGGGAAGCGGGGAGGTGAGTGTCTCATCAAGAGACACGAGGCCGCGTGTGTCGACAACGTGTTTCGTCTCGTGCAGGGCTGTACGCAGGTTTCATCTCTCAAGCTGGAGCTGGCTGTGCGTGCTCCTGGGCCCTGGCGGTCCCTGTCGTGTCTGAAACGACATGGCCCCCACATGCGTGAGGAGGGGATGCGTCATGACAGCAGGTGCCCTGGGTCGAGACGAAACAGACGCAGTGGTCATTCCGCGGTGCCGTCTGCGGCCTTGGTGAAGGTGAAGCGGTGAATAAATAATGATCCTATTTGGATCCTCGGTCCAGTAGGCTCAGCCAATGGCGCGACCAATCTCAGATTGGTGGATAGGGGGTCGAGGCGACAGACCGCCCGGCGCCCCGGCCTCGTCAAAAGACATCCGAGGCATGTTCTTGGTAGCGGTGTATATCCTGTCCGGGGCCCTGGGCGCAGAGCCGCGACGAGGAAGGTCGGCAGACTGCCTGGTGAAGTAGTCTGCGGGCGTTGGGCCCTCCCAGCGATCGCGTGAGCCGATGGCACTGTAAGCACTGCGGTGACGCTGGTGGTGCGGTACCGTCGTCCGGGGCATGTGCGTCTGGGTCTGGGTCTTGGAGAGGCGCGATGGTTGACGCTTGAGGTGGGGGATGAAGGCGTCGTCGCCTCGGACGGTCTCGTCGGTCAGACCGGGACGAGCATTCGGGGCGCGAGCCAGGATAGGCGTGCGCGGTACATCCATGCTGCTGTGTCCCTGGTAGCCGGCCGAGCGAGGCGACTGCTCGCTTGACATGCGGTTCTGGTAGACGATGACACTGGCGGGCTTCTGCACCGAGCTCACGGAGCTGTTCTGCTGGTGATGCCTCGTGTCGGGGTTGCGTCGCTCCGGGATCATCTCCTTCTCATCGTCGTCGTCCTTGTCGTTCCGATCCATCTTCCAGGTCTCAATCTCCTCGTCGGCGATGGGGGTGATGCCTCTCTTGAAGAGATGTGCATTCCGCCGCCGTACAAAGAAGTAGACACTCAGTCCCAGGATGAGGACGCATGTGACGGGTATCACCGTCGCGAGGATGATGGTGAGTCGGCGGTCGGTATCCATGTTGACGCTGCCATTACTCCTCCGCCCACGAATGATACGCACAAGAAGAGAATACGGGCGAGTGCGAGACTGCCGCGTCGAGAGAGAGAAGTGAAGTGAAGAGGCCCTCGTACAAGCGGCTCTTGACTAGAGCAGGTCGAGGTTGGATCCGGCCCGGCACACACGATGCCTTGGAGGAAGCAGGGGCATCAGGGACGAAGAGCCGACCAAGGGCAAAAGGCGTGAGCTAGGCGGGGAGGGGATCGTAATATACATACGGATACTTGCCTAGACCCTCCCGCTGAGACTGCCCGGCCGGTTACGATGCGCTACGACGCAATCGACTCTCGGCACATGCGCTCTCTCTCTCTCACTCTTTCTCATTTTCCCTCACTCAGATCAGGTCCCAGGATGGCCTGCCCCCACCTTGCGCAGCGGGGCGATGGTGATCGTGGCTGCAGGGCAAGCGAAGAGGACGATGGGCCGCTGAAACATGACCGTCGTGACCCCTCCAAGAGATGGAGCTAGCCGGGCCTGCATACATGATACGTACGTGCGTGCATGCGAAGCAGCATGAGTGCGTGCAGGTGTGTTGGGGCGGACAGAGTGGTGAGCGCCAATGGGCTGTGGAGGGGAGGAGGTTGCAGGCTGGATGTTGGAACTTGGACTGGAGGCGGTCAAGGCCTGGCAGGTCAAAGTCAAACGAGCCAGTGGAGACCAGGCAGGTCCGGTCAGTGTCAGGGGTCACTTTCAGTGGTGTGGGGCCTGGAGAACGTGGCGCTGAGTGCCTGGAGGTCCAGTCCTGCCACTGTAAGCCATCCAGTCCAGCGTCTGCCAGTGCCCATCAACGCATTTGACATACTAAGGTACGTACAGCCTGGCAGGTATTAATAGGCGGCTGCGTGATCAACAACTTGCAGCACCAGCACTGCAGGGAGACTGACAGGCGTGTGAAAAAAACAAGCACGACTGGCTCCCAGTGTGCCAGATCATCGGGCGTCAACATGAAGCATCAGCAAACCTCAGTGCAGTCGTCTGCTCCGCAGACAGGCAGGTTCCTGTGATAAATCACCACAGTCAGCCGCACGCCAGGAGGCCTGGGCCGGCCACCTCGCCCAGCCTTGGCGCCTCCAACGAGATCATTGGAGGCGGAGGACGGTGACAGTCGCCAGTCGTCGGCCACCACGTTGTCAGGAACCAGAATCCAGATGGGGGGTAAAACAAGGCACGAGCAGCACACATGCATTCCAGCCTCCTGTCAGCCACAGGCACAGGAACATTCCACTGGCATCGATATGCGAACCGAACCTGGCCGACGATATACATTTTACTCCGTAATTTTACCCATTCACGACCCGTTCACGGTGACATATTGAGGTCAGTCTGGCCATGAAAGCCGGCTGGCGGCAGCAGGAAACCTCCTCGCATCGCAACCACCCACCCACCAGACCCTTAGGCGATCATCTCGCAGTGCACGCCAAAGAAGAAGAAGCGTTATGAACTTAGCAGCCCTTGCAGCAGTGCATCTCCCCCGCCTGACAATGCCGTGAACGTTTACGGGGTATTGACAGCTGCACTCTTGTGTCCCCGTGCTGTATCCGTAGAAGTAGCTAAGGCAAGGTAGGACACAACGGGCGAAAGCGCTTTACGCTTTCTTCTTTTCCTCTTCTTCTTCAGGAAAGAGGTCTCAGACACGCATCGCAAGAGCCTACGGATGCAGCGGTGGAGGCGGTTGGCCAAGAGGGACGCTTCGCCGGTTTCATCATGGCTGTCATAGACTGCGCCAGCAAGCAAGACGAGCACTGACTACTTTGCCGATAAGGCTCCTTCACGGACACTCGGTAGTGCCGTATCGCGAAGATGACGGTGACACTATATATATGTGAGTGGTATTATATGTGCTGAGGGTAATTGATCGGGTCTTGTCTAGATAGCCCATGTGCCAGACATGCCGAATCGAACGGGTCAGCAATCCGCATTCGGCCACGAAGCCGTTCGACTTCCAAATTCGACATGTTTGGTTGGTATGCCAGGCGCATTCTCTTGGCCGTCGGCGATTGTGCGGTGTCGGGTCTCTTTTCACGCGTCCAGGACCAGGATGTTTCCCCAGTTGGGTGGATCGTGGACCGCACCGCAGCCGGTGCGATGCAGCGACCGGGGTCTGAATTGGTCTGGTGCCAATCGTCTTGGAACGGTCACGGACCGCACTGTTAGCGTCGGACGAGGCAATTGCTTGACTTGCTTCGGCATGGATGGATCGGATCATAGATGGATATATAATAATGGCGCTGTCTCGGGACTGGACTCATGACGGAGGATCATCGCGGGATTTAGTCGTGGGCCCTGCTGCTTGCTTCTACTTGAATGTGATACCTCTGGTGCGTCAGAAAGACCAATGTTATGGCATTCATGATCGGGAATCATCAAGTTCTTCGGAGAGATAATGGGCACTTCTCCATCGCTGGAATCACCCCGCCCGCGTGTTCACCACTTGATATCACTCACTCACTTCCGCCCACCACGTCCAGGGGTAATGAACACGGACACGAGCAAGTGTGCCTGGCATATCGTAATTATTTTGGGATCCCATGACCACTTCATCCCCTTCTGGCGCAGAAGGGTGTGAAGCAGAGGCTGAACGTGGCGCACATGGCCAAGTGCACTAAAAGTCAAAGAGTCAGGCACATGCTGATGCGGGCAAGCCACGGAATACACCGCTTCTTGCCCAGCATCTGCGCATTCCATCCCATCCCATTCACGGGGACCACATGCAGGGCACAAGGTCCAGGTCCGCGCGTTCCTGGCTGTGGCTGTAGCCGTGAATGACTTGCAGGTATTGTGCAGTATTATTAGCTCGTCCATGCAGCTGCTGGCGGCTGGATGTCTCGGTGCGTTTTCGACCCTCTAGGATCAAATCTGACGATGCTTCTTTTTTTCTAAAGCCATGGTGATCTGCGGGGTGCCGTGACATGTAAGAAACCTTTCGAGAATATGGCCCATTGAGTCTAGGCGTGAGATCCTGAGCTGGAGCCAGCAGCGAGCGAAACTGGCCAAATAGTTAAAGGGGCGTTAGTACTGGCGGTGGTGATAGCGTCAAACCTGCGTGCCCCACAGCGCAAGGCCTGGTGAGCGCCCAAATCAGGTTACCAGACATACTTTGAATGCAATACTACATGCAGCCAAGATAAGTATCCTCGAGATTGGCGAGAGTGTGGCATGCAGACAGGTGTTAGCTCGGCTTTCTCCATTGCCGGGACCAGCGTTTGAGGAAGGGGGGAAACACCCATTGGATCAAGATTTGAAGCATGGACAACTAGCCTAATCCACTCAATTGATATTGATTTCGATCCCAGCTGCGAATCCACGTCCTTTATGACGCAAGAGCTTATTTGCGCCATTGTGAGCTTGATTTGGCGCTGTTGTTCGTGGACGCTCATGTCCAGGGTAAGCTTGTTGAATTGGGAGCAATTGCCTCGTTGCCTCATCCAGACACGAACCCAGCCGAAGGACATGGCGAATACCAGAAAACAAAACCCCGTAACCCGCTCCCCAACCCACGATGATCAACAGAAAGCCTATAGCTGGCTTCATTTGGACGACATGCAGACGGAGAGAGCCTGCGCCAGCTCAGGGATCTCTCGCTCCTGGCACTTGAACCCCTCAGCGCATGTGCCATCCGGGCCACAGAGGTAAGGCTTGAAGCGCTTCTCGACGGACAAGTCTGCAGAGTCGGGCACGCAGACGGTGGGGATCGGAGGCGCAAAGTACATGTTGTAGGGGTCGGAAATGCAGCTCTCGCCGGGAGCGCACGCGTTCTCGTCGGCTGGGTCGCAGGTCTGGAGGACCGGTGCGGCGAGGGAGAGGCGCGCCATCGCGAGCGCGAAGCCGAGGGAGAGGGTCTTGACAGAGGCCATTGTTGATTCTGGTTCTTTGAATTTTACCAGACGTTGATGAATCTGGAAGATGAAAAAGCGGAGGTTGTTCGTTCTTCAAGGTGGGCGTCACTGGTACTAATGCTCTCGCCTGAAGGAAGTAGGATGCGTGATGCATGTGTGCAACTACATCATTCCTGTATCAGAAGGCCCTGGAGATCACGGCAATTTTGTGTCGCCTTGCCCAAACACCGGCAGTTGCCCGCGTTCAGGTACGGAATGGCATGTTGAATGCTATCAAATGTCAGACGTGGGACATGTAGGCTGGGCAGGGATCGTCACATTCCTGCCGCCATGGCATGGAGCAGAGTTCTCCCTAGACAGTTGGGTTTATGGGAATTTGAAGTGATGATGCGATTCCCACAAGTGAGCATGGGCAATGATGGAGCCTAGTATTGACCATTCTTCAACGATCCGCGGGGCGTTGGGATTCTGCAATGTCGCGACTTCAACGTCGCCGCCTTGGTTCAGCTGGTTTGCTTTACAAAAAGGTAAGACTCCATAACCGGGCATTCCAACCAGGTGTCTGTGCGAATCAGGCAGAGTATCCTCGGGCTTGGTGCCAGGGAGCTCCCTTGGAGACTGCGTAGGTACACAGCCAACTGGTACGAGGCTTCGACTGCCACAACAAGACGTTGTGAATCAAAATAAATTCCACAGTATCTATCACTCGAGAGCTCCTGAACCGCGCCTGGTACTGACAGTCGTCAAATTGTCTATCAAAATTCACTACGAGAGACGTTGAACCACCACCACCACCCGATATCCTACGTGACGATCTACAACCCCCCGTTACAACTACGCACACGAGACCATCGAGCCTCCTACAGATCGCCGTCAAAAGATCTCTGGATGGGAAAGATGTCACCCTTGAGCATGTTCTACATCTCAGCCATGCTGGTGTTCGCTGCCGCAGCACCACAATACCAGAGTGAAAGTGAGATTCAGTGCAGTGTGGAGGGCAGTTGGACATGTCCAAGAGGTTTCTTTTGTAGGCGACATGTCCAAGGCCAAGAGGCCAGCGGCATCTGTGAGCCCATTTTCTGATACGACGCTGCAAGTACACTCAGATATGGCCATATGCCCTGTGGTTGGAATCATGGTTACACTCATTCTTAAAAGCAGTGACAGATGGAAAGACATGCGAAATCCATTATGGTTGATATCACTTGATACCAACGCTTACCTAGATACTTACCTTCCACACTTACCTCCCCACCCTAATCAATAACGAAACGCTCCTCTCTAGGCGGATTAGCTTCAGACGACGAGGCAAACGAATTACCTTGCAAAGACCGAGCGAGCCCAGGCGTAGCTCGACCCGACGCAGGCGGCTCTCGAGCATCGTCACCCCGGCGCGGCGCAAACAGGTTCCTCGCCTGTCGAGCGACCCAATCCACAGGATTCTTCAGGCATTGCGCTCCCTCCCTCTTCTTCTTCTTCCCGTCCCGATCAGGGCCCCCCGGCTGCAGAATCATGCACTCAAACCACGACTCCTCGGCCCGGCGCAGACGATCCTCGCAGACACGCGCCTCCGCCCACAGCCCAATGTCGCCGAGAAAATCGACGACATCGTAGACGGAGCGGCCCTCGACGCCCTCGACGCAGCGGTGGATGACCTGCATGAGATGCGCCGGGTCGGCGTTCTGGCTAAACTCGTACAGGCCGACGCAGATCTTGGCCCAGGTGATGATCCAGGTCGGATCCAGAGAGCCCATGGCCTCGCGCATCTCGACCGTGTTGCGCGGCATGTCGGGCGGCGTGGGCTTTGAGGCACAGGCGGCGTGGGCTTCCTCCTGCTGCCACGCCTGACGGCGGATCTCCTGCCCCTCCGGCTCCAGGTATGAGTCTGGCACGGGGCACTCGAGAGGGAAAGTGCCGGATGTGTAGAAGAGCCAGTTGAAGTTGACGTACTTGCTGACCATGGGCGGCATGAGCAGCTCGGCTAGCTGTTGGGTGCCGCGGTCGCAAGACGCGAGTTCCTTGATGGCCGACCAGACGTACTTGCGGAACGGTACAAATTTTCCATAGTCCTCAGGCCTAATTGGGACTGACCGTTCAGGCATGGGCGTCAGAATGAAGTCTTTCAAGCTGTGCGTGGTCTTTGTCGGCCGAAAGTGACGGATGAGAGAAGCGGCGGCGGGTGCATCGCCCAGGGCAGGGGGGATCTCTGGTGGCCCACGACGGGAAGACTTCAAGAAAGGGTTGGTGTCAGGGTTCTCGAGCTCCGCCTGGTGCTGCTGGGCGTTGAAGTTGGGGTTAGGGATGTTCGCTGGTCCAAAGAAGGGCTCGTACGGGCCCGATGGCCAGTCAATGGGAGCCGGTGGATGCCACCACGGGGTCCTATCCGGCGCCTTGTCTACGGCCTGGACCGTCTCGCCTAGGAACCGCTCCCTACCACGTTCAAAGCGCGTGGAGTTGCATATTGCCTCGATGGCATCCGCAGCCTCTCTATTCTGGTTCACACGCGAGACGTTGAGGCGTCGATTAGAGTCTGCGAAGCCGTTGCCAAAGGGCGTGCCAAACGCGCGCTCGGGAGGATGCAAGATGGACAACAAAGGCTCGACAGCCCACCAGAGTGAGGCAAAGCTGCGCGCGACCTGTAGAGGGATCCTGTTAAAGCCGTTACCGACATGCACGTGAAAGCCAGTGGAGGCGTTGACGCGGCATCGAAAGTGGGAGGTGATGAGACTAACCACGAGGCGAATCATGAGGAATGCGGCCTCACGGGCAAAGCAGGCCGGGCTGGAGATCTCGAACTCCTCCCAGGCGTAGCCCTTCTCATGGAGCTCGGCACATGTCGGGTCGCACTCAATGAGCCAGCCCATGGTAGGAGGATCTCCAGGCTCGCGGAGGGGAATGCCCTTGTCTTTAAACAGCTCAGTCATGACTACGCGGGTCTCGCCGCGGTCGTACAACGGGGGCAGGCGATGCGCGTTGGCACTATCAGGGTCCATGTCCCGTCCATACTTCCTCTCCGCCACCAGGAATTCCAGCTCGACCCCGAAACTCGCGCGAGGGGGCGTCGTTGGCGCATCATTGCTCGTGGACGGCCCACTCATGGCTGCCGCCTAGTTGGATGTCGGTAGCGGAGGTCTATCAAATGTCAGCCCAGAGAGAATGCTAGGAAACGTACCGCGCGTGATCGCTACTTATCCAGGCCAGCTGGATAGTTGCGAGCTCTCTGGCCGACTCAATGGACTGTTGATGAGTGTGTAATCTGTGAATAGTCAAGAGTGGCATGGCAAGCGAGGTAGACATGGATATTTATACCCAGAGGGTCACTTTGCCAGTTGCGCACCCCTGCAAGCACAATGCGTACTGAAGACACTGTTCACAACGCGAGTACCGGGCGGAAGATAATAGTTCGATTTCATTTCAGTGTATGTTCCCTACTCCATGCGCCTCCTGCTTTGTGATGGTGAAAGAACAAGGGTGGACGGCCCGCAAACAATGGCCACTGCACACCAAATAACAACCGTCCCCGTTCCGTTATTAAGGGATCCGAGCTCGCTCGAACAGGCGAACTGGGACCGTTTGTGAGCATTCAATCGTGTACAGCCCCTGAACACATCCAATGTCGTGTTGCACTCCACGTTGCGCGCTGTATATATTCCGAAAGAGCTCTATCTGTGCGATGCGAGGGTCGAGTGTCAAATGCGAGGTATGAACAAAAGTGTGTTCCGGTCTGACTAGAATCAGAACAGAGCAGCGACAATGCCGAGGGCCGCGAGAACGGGAGCAGCAGTGGCGGCAGCAAAGTCACCCTCGTCGGTGGTGGCGGTGGTGGAAGCGGTCTGCTGTTTCTCGTCGCTACCGGTGGACGAGGCAGGAGTCGTGGTGGTACTGCTGGCTTCCTCGCTCGTGGTGCTGGCGCCACCGACATCGGCCTTGTTGGGATCCAAGGTGCCACACTCGGCCTCAATGTTGCTACGGCAAGCAGACTGGGCCGTCTGATTGCGCGTGTTTTCGCTGATGCAGCGGTCGGTCAGAGTCTCGCAGATGAAGGTAGGCATGGTCTGCGTGTACCACTGCAGACCGGGCGCCGAGCTGTTGGAGGCGCACTTGCACTCGTACTCAATGGTGGTCTGGGAGGCGGAGATTAGCTTTACCGCACAGGTTCTCGTTGTGCAGGACCACCTACGTAGTCGCAGTCATTTGTGCTGGCGTCATCGTCGCACAGGGTGTCGCAGGTGTCTTGCTGGGCGCGGCACCAGGTAGCTGAAGGAAAGAGTCAGTCAGAAGCGCAAGCAGTGTCTGGCGCGGGACTGGTACGCACCCTTGGTGCTAGGGTCGACGCTGTTAGGGTCGATGGTCATGTTCAGAGAACTGTCGTATGTCTGATCCGCCGATTGGGCAGTGACGACCGCCGCAGCGAAGGCGAGGAGAGTGAAGTAGCGCATGTTGTTGTTGATGGCGGCTAAGCTGTGATGCTTGATTTAGAGTGGCGATGGAATGATGCACGTTGGCGATGCTGACGGTACAAGAGCTGCGTCAAACTTGTTTAAGTTGTTCAAGATGGAGAGACGGTGAGGAGAAGAAGAGAAGCAGAGGAGGAGGAAACAGAGCAACAAACGGGACAACGGCAGTAGAAAAACATGGCAGGCGAGGCAGGCCAAGGCCGAGATCGTGGGTGAGAAGGCAAGAGATGGGTGCCAAGACGAGCCAAGGAAAGCCGGACCCGTCCAAGACCAACCATCAATTTCAAGGTCAACCACCTCGAGTCACCTCGGGTCAATTCTTTTCATGTCATGTCAGCCTGAGCAATCACTGAGAGCAGACACTTGTCTTGGATCACTCGTTGGGCTGTGTGCTTGCTTTGTGCCTGCTTGCGTCGCAAGAGTCGCAAACACAAATGACTCCGTTCATTGCCCGCCTTCACGATATCCCGCCTTCGCCAAGGCCAGCGACTGGAGCCCGCCTAGGTCTCGAGGGCATCACTGTGGAGACGGATGCACCACTAGGCTGCAGCTCCTAGGTCGCACCGGATGCAGAAATGCCACTCGGACCTCCTCTCCGACCAGATTCCCATCCTCGAGTCTCTCCCATTGATAGGACCTGCCAGCCACAGGATTTGGCCGCGCTCAGCATGCACTGACGGTTGCTGTCGAGGGCGGGGGTTGTGACGCGCGCAACTGGACTGGAAACATGGCCTTGGCTCAATGTCTCATTCCCGGCACACCAGGAGATTTGCATTGCAATATACCCGGAGGCAGCCCGCCATCCTGCTATCAACTGATCCATCTAGGTACGGATAGGGTAGCAACCACGAATCCCGCAATCCCGATGGGCCGCTGAAATCAGCGCCAAGCCAGCTCGCTGTCTTGTCCTCCATCATCGACCAGGTGTCGAGAGCCTGGCCGCTCGCGCAACGGTGAAACGTGTCTGCGACGGGGCGTCTGTCCCTGCAAAGTCAACAACTCCCTCTCATGACAACCATCAATGTCTCGTCAAGCTCAGTACGTATGCGCGTCTGGCAGCCACGAGTCGACGACAGTCCCCAGGCCCACGTTCCTCGTCACTGGCACTGCATGCCGGCCGGCCACGTCGCGGGCTCATCCTGGTCAGTTCCTAGTCTCGACTAGAGCGGCAGACGGGAAGCTGTGGAGTTCCTAATATTGCTTCCCCAGAGCTCGACCATGCGCTGACATGTACTACGTAGTCGTCGACTCGTCGTCATCGCCTAGAAAATTCCAATGAACCGTTATTTCCGTGGATGTGTACGTACGTATGCCAATATTCTCGTGTACAGTCGATACTGTTCTCGTGTTGGAGGCCTGGCAGCCCTCCTTTATGCACGTGTTATGCAGGTCCGCAACTTTATTCCATCCATCTCCGGATGGACGTGCCGGGGTTTTCGCGCTGCCACCGCTGCCATGGTAATCAGGCTGCCGAGGCGGCATGCTGTTGGTGAACAAAGCGACGGAGGTGGTTGATTTGGGTCGATGCTGAGTAGAACAATGGAATATGCGTACTCTCTGTCTAAAGCAAGTTCGCATAGTGCGTTCCTCATAGGGACTAGGATCAGTAGCTCAACTGGTTGGTTGTCCGCGCATGAGAACTGATGGCTTGCGGTCCCGGGTAGTCAATTCAGCTCCACCACAGGCCTGAAATTAGTGACAAAGTCCCCGAATTCGGCCCCCTTTTAGCATTGACATCTGTCGCCTCACGGTCATGACCTGCACCACACCATGGACAAGCTCCCATCCGAGATCATCGACCTCATCCTCGACCAATGCCTTATCCAGCTCACCCGCAACAATGTCCTCGAGTTCCGCCTCGTCTGCCGGGCGTTCGACTGCCATCTCAAGCGATGGGGTTGCTACAACCTCACCCTCGACTACTGGCGCATGATGGACCGGCGGCCCCAGATCGAAGCCCTCCAGACGATAGGCTACCACTGCCGGAGCCTGCTCCTGGACTTTGTTGTCCTGCGCGATGAAAGTGAGTCCGCGCCTTCACTTCCCTCCTTCAGGCAGCACGGTTGCGATCACTACTATTAGTACCTTATGTATACATGTACTGACTATCCCCCCTCCAGGGGAACTCTACTTCAACGAGCAGCTCTTCCACCACGACCCCGCCATGGCCGAGTTCTGCGAGACGCTGCAGCACAAGTTCGCCATGCACGAGGACACCTTTACCGAGTCGGACTTCCTGGACAACCTCGGCCAGGTCCTCTTCTACTGCCGCTCGACCCGCATGCTCCGACTCGCCCTGCCGTTCCAGGTGATCCCAGGGCGCACCGAGACGGCGACCAGGATCCTCGCCAACACATTCAAGGCCCTGGCGGACAGGCCGGAGGAAGGCTCGGCGCCCCTCGAGGTGCTCGTGATGGATCTGGTCCGCGACATATCGCTCTGTCAAATATGGACGAACCCCAGTGACATTGCCAACGTGTTCACCGTCATGGCGAAAGTGAAGAACCTGGTCATCAGCTACCGCCAGGTCGAGACGCTGTCCGAGGTCGCGCTGGTGTTTGGTGCCTCCATATGGTCCGTCGCGGGCAGCTCCAGTTGCCTGGAAACGCTGTGCCTGATCGGCAACCAGCACACGACGAATTCGCCGCCCAACAGGACGTGGACCAACGGCGTGGACACCACGCCCGACCAGTGGAGCTGCAAGACGCTCCCTCGGATCAAGTTCCAAGCAGGGCCCTGGACTAGCCTGAGGTGCCTGGAGTTGAGGTCGATGAACGTGAGCCCCGAGGTCATGGTCCAGTTGGGCGACGAAATGGGCGACACGCTGCAGGAGCTGTATCTGAGTGACGTCTGGCTCATGGTGGATGGGTTGCGCGCCCATGGCGAGGACGACGCGTGGCTCAACGACTTGGCGCTCTGGGTCGGCCACCCGGATCGACGGCCGCCTGAGCATGCCAGCTGGATCGCCATGGAGCTGCGCAGCAGGATGACGGCTCTGCGGATCTGCCGCGCCTCCTCCCTAGGCTACGAGACCTATGTGGACAGCGATCGCGACAGACTGGCGAATTTCGACCTCCGAGATCCCTGCGGGCTGGGCCGCACGCTCGCGCAGCGCTTCGTCGAAGTCGTCACGGGCTGCGAAGGTCCTCCGGACAAGGAGACCGGGGAACCCGTCAAGTACCTCCCACCCGACTCCTGGCACGACCACCTGCTCCACGAGACCAGGCCGCGCCCGTCGCAGGTCGTCGAGTACGACACGACGGCGTACCATCTGTCTGTCGCGAATCCAACCTCGGTGTGGCTGGATCGGGGCATGCACGAGTTCTTCCCGGACAAAACCGAGGCGAGCGCCCAGATGGTGGACCGCTTTACGACGACCTTTGCGAAAGGCATGCAAGAGCTGAGGATGAGACTGTTGTCACAGGCGAGTCAGGGGCTGCAGCGCGAGGTAGAGGAGTGAGTGAGGAGTTGATGGACAACCCGACAAATGATACCCACAATGCATAGCATGGCTTTGAGCACGTCTTTTTGGAAGATGACATTGGCCGCGATGGTTCACGTTGCTCTGTACTGATAGATGCATGGCCCTTTTCTTTGGGCGACTTGATTCATTGATAGGATGTCCCTTCTGTGGGATCCCTCCCCCGACAGAAACGGGGATATCTATCTATCTATTCTTCATGTGCGCGAGGATCTTCCTCCCCCACACTCACTCCAGTGCACTCTTATTGCGCGCTGCCGTTCCCGTTCTTCTGGCCCCCCACGGCCCTCTCGACGGCTCGTAGCACGTCATTCCTCAGATCCTCCGCGTCCTCGACGCCGCAGCTCACGCGGACCAAATCGTCAAAGACACCGACGGCCTCCCTCTGATCACGCGGGATACCAGCGTGGGTCATGCTGCTAGGCAGCTCGACGAGCGACTCAACACCGCCGAGGGACTCAGCGAGGGTGAAAATGCGTGTCTCCTGGCAGAAGCGCTCAGCAGCAGCGTGGCCGCCCTTGATGCGGAAGGAGAGCATGCCGCCGCCCATGCCGTTCCTGTGCTGCTTGAGGGCGATGGCGCGGTGGGGGTGGGAATCGAGGCCCGGGTAGTTGACGGAGATGACGTTGGGGTCGGCCTCGAGGGCGGTGGCGACGGCCATGGCGTTGGTGGAGGCCTCGCGGGCGCGGAGGTGGAGGGTCTTGAGGCCGCGGTGGGCGAGCCAGCTGTCAAAGGCGGAGGGGACGGCGCCAATGGCGTTCTGGAGGAAGCCGAGGCGGTCCTTGAGGGCGTCGGCGTTGAAGGCGGCGACGCCCATGACGACGTCCGAGTGGCCGTTGATGTACTTTGTGACCGAGTGGACGACAATGTCGGCGCCGAGGTCGAGGGGGTTCTGGACGTAGGGGGAGAGGAAGGTGTTGTCGACGACGACGAGGACGCCGTGGCGGTGGGCGACGTCGACGACGGCGCGAATGTCGACGAGGCGCAGGGTCGGGTTGCTGGGGGTCTCGATCCAGATGAGGCGGGTGTCCGGGGTGATGTGCTCGCTGACGTCGACCTCGATCTCGGGGGTGAAGGTGACGCGGACGCCGTGGGCCTTGGCGACCTGTGTGAAGTAGCGGTGGGTGCCGCCGTAGACGTCGGAGACGGAGATGACGTGGGAGCCGGCGGCGAGGCTCTGGAGGATGGTGGCCGTGGTGGCGCTGCCGGAGGAGAAGGCGAGGGCGTAGCGGGCGTGCTCGAGCGCGGCGACGGCCGTCTCAAAGTTCTCGCGGTTGGGGTTGGAGGAGCGCGAGTACTCAAAGGCGCCCACGGGCTTGCCCACGGCGGTCTGCGCAAAGGTGGTCGACAGGGAGATGGGCTCGATGACCGCGCCGGTAGAGGGGTCGTGTGGTGAGCCCGCGTGCACAGCGAGGGTGCCGAACTTGTTGACGGGGCTCGGGGGACGAGGAGGCGTCGCGACGGGGTTGGTGTCGGCCACAATGGCGGCGGCTGCTGAGGGCGACATGCTGTGTGGTGGTGTCTTGTTGGAGGGAGGTAGGTGGTGGTGATGTTGGATGGATGGATGATGGCCAGGGTTTAGATAGAGGCGGGGAGAGAGAGGCTGGATGTGTCTGCGCTCGAACAACAAGGTGATCCTCTGTCCGACTGCTTCTCACTGGCGTCAGGTGTCTCTCACGTAATTTGATGCGCCCAGATATGCGGCTGTCTCAAGGAAGCAAGTCGAAATCTTTTTTTTCCTGCTCGTCCTCTTTGTCGACTTTGCGACCGGGTTTCGGGTTCGAGGCTAGAGACGGCCAGCCCCGGCTGATTATGCTCAAAGGGCTCAAGGGCGGTGGAGGCGTGGGTCCTAGGGCGTAGCGATGTGTAAGGGAATCAATTGACGGAAGACTTTGCGTGGGAAGATGTTCTCAATTGCAGATGGGCGAGGAGGAGGGGATGGATCGCCCGGACGAGCGAGTCAAGCAGGCGCTGCGCTGAGGACAGAGAGACAGAGAGACAGAGAGTGATTCAGATGGATAAAGGCTGGTCCAACTCTAAAATGGTGCCATCGGGGACGGGCACTTTATACTGCGAATGTACTTGAGACCAGCCAAATGACCACGATGGTGCAATAGCCGTGGCCTGTTGTCAAACGTAGTACCCTTCCAGTTAGCACGCGGGCTTGGGCTCTGACTGATGACATGCGGATTCGGATTCCGGTTTCGTACGTAACTGGTGATGAATGCCACAGTGCTTGGCCCTGCATCACCTGCTTACTTGAGCCGCTTTGTAATTCACGAATTGTCAGGCTGCGCCGGCCAGTAGCGGGCCATTGGAGCGTCGTCGATTTGAATGGAATCCAGTATTACCCATCAAGTGACGAGAAGCAAGTTGTGACCTGCGGTGTTGACGACCGCAATGATGGCCTCATCTGGGAGGTAGGCCACTGGGTGAAACCTTCGAGAAGCAATAGTGACAGCGATGCTCAAGGTTGGCCTAACTCACGTCAAGTGCCACGTTTACGACCTACTGCCCTCTCTGCCTTGTCTTTCGCCCATGAGGCGAATGCTGTTAGTCGACTCTTGCGAGAAGCTACCCAAAAGCAATACGCGTGTCTGCAAAAGACTCGAGCTTGCGAGGCGGAGGTGGTTGACAGCCTCTCTCGTTGGACACGGACGAAGCTTCAACGGTTCTGACATTTGACCCCAGGCGATCATCTCGCTGATCCCACCACCTGCCTACCCTGTAGCTAGGTCGGAATAGTTGTGGCCCGACGCCATTGACCAATCGTCGTCTTGATAAGCCACTCGGTGGCTCGGGATGGCTTCGGCAGGCTGTGGCAGTGCACTGACCCCCTCCACGCCTCCATCGCCGCCTTGCCTTGCTTCGAGAAGCAGTCTCCAATTAACTTAACGTTAGGGGTCCTGATCTGTCCTGATCTGACCTGTTCCTGGACCTGATAGCCAACAAGCACGCCCGCCCACCAGCCCTATTTCGCCTCTTGCTCTCGGATGCCGATGCACAGTTGACGGCCGCCGCGCGTATCAAGCCAACGTAGAACCACGCGAAAGCAAGCCCCTGTAGGCTTCTATTTCGGTCCCTCGGCAGTCTTGAACCTCACCAGCCTTCGCGAGCGAGCGATTCCATGTTTCCTTAAAGGCTAGGCGTCGAGCTCAACTCAACGAAGCAAGCGGCCATGCTTGCCGTCCGTCGCGATATCCGAGCATCAACTGCTACGGTAGCTTAGTTCATTCCGCCCATCTTCCTCGAACATGCCCCCTCGGAGATCGCACAAGAAGTCGCGGGCTGGGTGTCGCCGGTGCAAGGTCCGCAAGATCAAGGTACGTTGCGCTGTCTCCCTTGGCCCTGTCTCTTGTCTCGGATTGGGGCTGACCTGACTACCAGTGCGACGAAGTCCACCCACGATGCGGCAACTGCACGAAACATGGCGTCGTGTGCGACTTTGAGTCCAACGAGGTGGCAGACGACCTTGCCAGCGTCTCTACGCCGGCAGCCCCGAGCCCCTTGCCTCCAACACCTGCGGCATCCTATGCGCGGGCCAACCCCCAGCCTCCGAGACGATCACCTCCGCGTCCGCCCTCGGTGACACCACGCCTTGTCTTTAACCAGCCCCCGACACCCAAGGTGTCCAGCGTCACCGCCCAGGTCAGCAGGCTCATGGAGCTGCGCCTGATGCACCAGTACACCAACGTCACATCCAAGACGCTCCTCACAAGCTCGCCTGTCACGGAAGATATCTGGCAGCGCGCCGTGCCGCAGATGGCGTTTGAGGGGCGGACATATCTCGCGGACGCCATCCTGTCCGTCGCGGCGCTGCACCTGCGCTCCCAGGCGCCCGAGGACAAGTCCCTGATACGCGCGACCCACGCCTATACAGCGTCGACGCTGGCCGAGTACTGCGCCTCGCTGGAAAAGGGCATCACATCGGACAATGCCGAGTCCCTGTTCCTGACGGCGTCCCTCATCGCGTTCCAGTCGGTGGCCTCGCGGATATTTGCGAAAGACGACGCCGAGCCCGACGACCCCAACGCCCGCTATGCGCTCCCGCTGCCATGGTTTCACTCCTTCCAGGGCGTCAAGACCGTGGTGGCCACCTCGTGGCAGTGGATACGGAACAGCAACATTGTCAAGAGCGTCATTGATTCTCAGCCGAGTCTACAGCTGGACCTGAACCCGCTGGGGCCCAACTCCTTCTTCGGCCACCTGCTCGAGGGCCTGGACGAGGAGATTGCCGAGGAGGCGCCCGACATGGTACCGTCGACGACACAATGCTACTCGCACGCCATCTGCGTGCTCAACTGGGCGCACAAGAGCCCGCATCCCGCGGCGGCGCTGGCGTTCCCCGCCACCGTCGCCCGCCGCTTCATCGAGCTCGTGGAGATGAAGAGGCCACGGGCGCTGGCGACCATTGCGTGCTTCTTCGCCCTGCTCAAGCGTCTCGACGGTGTGTGGTGGCTGCACGACGTGGCGCGCCGTGAAGTCATGGGCCTGGTCGGGCTGTTCGAGTCCGGGTCCAAGTGGTGGCGGCACCTCGAGTGGCCGGTGCGGATCGCTCTCTGGGACGGCAGCAATATCCCCCCCGAGATTTGGGGCACCGACTGGGAGACGAGTGTGCCCCCGGATACCAGCCAGGGGTTTGTGGATCACATTGAGCTGGTGGCCGAGCTGATGGGCCAGTCTACGCATGATCTGCTCAACGTGGCCACTCCTTTTACGGGGGAGCCACCACTCACGGCCGAGTCGCCGGATTGATTGCATTGATCTACTAGGTACTAGACTACCATGTGCTGCATTTCGGGCGTTGAGGGCATTACACGATATCCGGAGAGGGTAGTGCGAGCGGGTTCACTGGTCATATTTTTGCACGTATATACAAGCAGTCAGTTATCTGCTTTACCAGCATCACATGATGGCCATATAAAGAGGTCAACAATTGGCATGATGTTCATTTCTGTAATAGAGTCTAGACATGCGCATCGTGACTGTGGGCCACACAAAAGGATGTTCCCGTCCGCAACGCCAAACGCCTCCAAGCCAAAGCAATGGCCACGCTCACTGCTCACGCCTTTCGGATCTTCTTGGTTACCTCCTCGGCCACAACCTCCTCGACCGCACCGTCGTCGTCGTCGGCATTGTCCGCGGCCTGCACGTCCCTTGACCGCTTGAGACCCTTCATCTTCCTCGTCTGCAGCTGGCTCAGGTCCTGGCGGCCGAGATGCACACGACCAAGCTTATCGCCCATGGAGTCGGTCGTGATGTTCTTCTTGGTCCTCTCCTCGAGGCCGCGAGGCTTCTTCATGGCGAGCTTGCGCGTGGCCTCGTCGGGGACCTGGATGCGGCCGACGACAAAGTCCATCCGGGGGCCCATCTCCTCGACCTCGACGCGCGGGAGGCGCTGGCCGCTGCGCTTGGTGCGGATGAGATAGGTGCGCAGGTGGATCTTGGGCTTGGCGTCGCCCTCGCCCGTCGTCTCCTCGGCGGTGAGGGAGACAATGTACTGTAGGCCCTCGACGTCAATCTTGTCGCTCGTCTCGCCCTTGAAAAAGTCGACAAACATGCTCTTGGCGAGGGTGAACTCGTTGTCGACGGGGCTCTCGAACGCGGTGCCGGCAAAGAGCAGCATCGGCCGCAGGCCCACGGCGAACTTTTTGGTCTTGAACTGGCCCAGCGTCCGGAACGTGGTCGGGTCCAGGATGAGCTCGAGCATGTCAAAGACCTTGTAGCCAAAGGTGCGCACCAGCGTCAGCGCGTGCGGTCGCTTCTTGCTCGAGCTGCCAAAGCACAGCAGGCTGGCGTCGTTCTTCTCGGAGAAGAACTCGAGCGACGAGGCGTCGTCGAATGGGTGGATGGGGTTCTTCTTTGTGAACTTTTTGGCGAGCGGCTGGCGCATCGTGTGCAGGTCCGTCAGCGCGTCCTGCACAATCTGCGAGCAGGTCGTGCCGCGGAGGAAGAGGCACGTCTTGGGGTTCTCGTTGACCTTGGACTCGCGCTTCTCGAGGGCCCGCTTGGAGCGGGCATTCTTGGGTTTCCTGGGGGAGAGTCAGTGCCTGGAAGTAGAGAGGTGTAGAGAATGCACATACACTTGACGCAGCATCGTGTCAGCTGTGAGGATGTGACGGGGAATGGGTGGTAAAGCTTGCTGGCGAGGTTGGCGGCTGGACTTTGAAGATTTGCGACGATTTGCAAAAAAGTTGTTATCGATAGCCGGGACGACAGGTGGGGTTGATGCAGGGTAGCTGATTTGGGATTACTGGTGCAGGGTAGGTCAGAAGGGTGGCCACCCGAGTGAGAGGTCTATCTGTCAAGATGAATGCAGGTATTCATCCCGTGCCACTATATGGTAGATACTGGTTCATTAGATCAGGAACCATTACCAGCCAGAACGCCGCATACGTATCGTGAACGAACCACCTCGACCCCAACTAGTCACGTGCGACCCCGGATCGGCTGGCACTTCCTGCGGAGACAGACTTGTCAGCGCGCCGGGACCGGTCTGCCTCGGCTTCGAGCCCCGCCACTCACCTGGACCCTCCATCTACAACCAATTTAATTACCAAGGGACGTCACGGCAGTCCTGACAACCCATCTTCGCTTCCCCCCTGCTTCGACATTCCCTACTCCAGAATCATTCTTACCTACATCATAGCGCGCAATGTCTTTCATGGGAGGAGCCGAGTGCTCGACAGCGGCCAACCCGTTGAGCCAGTTCCAGAAGCACGTGCAAGATGACAAAACACTACAGCGAGACCGGCTCGTCGGGCGAGGGCCCTCACAGATGAATGGGTTCCGGAGCCAGAGTGCGAATGCGCCGCAGGACGAGGTAGGCCAGGCAGCTGCCACTCTGGATCCGTCCTAGGACCACCAGCTGACACCCGCTCCAGATGGTGAATGGGTTCCTGAACCAAGGGCCCAGTCTCCAACAAGAACCCGCCATGCCAGGCGGCCCAGCACAGCTAAATCCCATGCAGATGCGAGCCAGCTCCGCCTCGCCCTCCTGGGCCCAAGACTTCAGCACCCAGCCAGGCGTGGAGTCAGCCTTCCAGCCGCCCCCCAGCGCCCACTTCAGTCCCGAAGAGTTCGCCCGCTTCCAGTCGTCGTCGCGATCGAGTCCGCTACAACAGAACATGTCGAGCCAGATGCCCCAGCAGCGCGGGCCGATGATGGGGGCCCAGGGCATGATGGGCAATATGGGCATGGGCGGGTACGGCAGGTTCCAGCCCATGTACCAGAACCAACAGCAGCAGCCCATGCGCCAGCAGCAGCACGAGCCCGAGGGCAAGGGTAAGGGGAAGCTTGTCGAGTTGGACGAGCACAAGTGGGAGGAGCAGTTTGCGCAGATGGAGCTCCAAGACAAGGAGGCGGCCACGGCCCAGGACGAGGCGTTGGTGGGGGAGCGTGAGCTCGACGAGATTGACAAGGCGATGCAATCGGAAACAAACGAGTTTGGTGACTTCCAATCCATCTGGCGAGGAATACAAGCTGAGCAGGCGGCATCCAGGTCCATGGTCAACGAAGAGCAGTTCTTTGACCAGTTCGATACCGAGTGGACGAACGACATGATGCCCGATCTCAACGGCATCGGCGACTGGGGGCGATTCGGCGACCCAACCGTCGACAACTACATGTTTGAGGAGGACAACATCTTCGGCAACGAGAAGAACGCCTTCAACGAGGGCGTGCGGATCATGAAGGAGGGCGGGAACCTGTCGCTCGCGGCACTCGCCTTTGAAGCGGCCGTCCAGCAGAACCCGGAGCACGTCGAGGCCTGGGTGTACCTGGGCGCGGCCCAGGCGCAGAACGAGAAGGAGACGGCCGCCATCCGGGCGCTGGAGCAGGCCCTCAAGCTCGACCCGAGCAACCTCGCCGCGCTCATGGGCCTCGCTGTCTCTTACACCAACGAGGGCTACGACAGCACGGCCTACCGGACGCTGGAGCGCTGGCTGTCGGCCAAGTACCCCCAGATCCTAGACCGCAAGGATCTGCACCCCCCCGCCGAGATGGGCTTCACTGACCGGCAGCAACTCCACGAGAAGGTGACCAACCTCTTCATCAAGGCAGCTCAGCTCAGCCCAGACGGCGAGCACATGGACCCGGACGTGCAGGTCGGGCTCGGCGTCCTCTTCTACGGCGCCGAGGAGTACGACAAGGCCGTCGACTGCTTCCAGTCCGCCCTCCACTCGTCCGAGCTGGGGTCGACCAACCAGCAGGAGCAGGTGCACCTCCTGTGGAACCGCCTCGGCGCGACGCTCGCCAACAGCGGCCGCTCCGAGGAGGCCATCGCCGCCTACGAGCAGGCGCTGTCCCTCTCGCCCAACTTTGTCCGCGCGCGGTACAACCTCGGCGTCAGCTGCATCAACATCAACTGCCACCAGGAGGCCGCCTGCCACTTTCTCGCCGCGCTCGACATGCACAAGTCCATTGAGAAGGCCGGGCGGCAGCAGGCCAGGGAGATCTTGGGTGATGGTAGCGGCGGCAGCAACGGCAACGTTGACGAGGCGCTGGACCGCATGTCCGCCCAGAACAGGAGCAGTACCCTATACGACACCCTCCGGCGGGTCTTTACGCAGATGGGCCGTCGGGACCTGGCGGAGAAGACGGTCGCCGGCGTCGATCCGGACGTGTTCAGACCCGAGTTTGACTTTTAGACGTGCGGCGGATACCACATGACGCGGAGTTTGAATACAACACATGTACATTGGCATTGTGCACTGATACCCTACCATTATGTGAGCCACGCATGTCGAAACTGCCCAAGCTCTCTTTTGCGTTCCTGGGTCATTTTATTTTCTTGGTTTTCCATCTAGATCTGGCTCTGGTTCTGTCTTTGAGCTCCATCTGTTGTGGCTCACCACCGCTTGTTGGCCCTGAGACCACGCGGATGAATAGTGTTTCTGATTTGGATTGTGGGGGACTGTGTCTTTTCCGCGCAAAACACAAGGTTACTATCTCCATTGCCGGTGTTCACTGGCTAAGGTATACGCCCTCTGGCGAAAATGAGCCTGTTCTTCACCTTTTCAGGAGTGGATGTGATGCCAGTCCAGTCTTCATCCGGCGCCCACATATCCGGTAGTGCGCCTGTTTCTTTTTTTTTTTAAATGACGGAGATCGGAGTGCACAGACCGTTCATTTACGTAAAAGAGTAAACACGTAGTTGGTTGGGCTTATGTGTTGCTCTACGTGACTAGAGGTGAAGTGGTCCCTGGGTCTCACTCAGGAAACTTGGGAGGCGAGCCATGGTCAACAGGAAGAAGTTTCGGTTTATATATCAAACATATAGCTGCCTCGTAGAGTGGATATTTATATTGGACGAGAATGGACATGCATTATTCGGCGTCGATGAGGTAGGCCAACACAGATCCGTACATAAACGCAACCGTACGGGAGGATGCTTTATGTGAAATACTCCATGCCAAGGGCTCAACACATGACCGAGTGAACCACTTCAACTTTCTGCGAAACGCCATTCCCATTCTATGCACCACCCCTCTCGCCTCATACGCGAGCATACCTTTGACAGCGACATCAACACCAAGGACGTGGCACCAGAGAACATAACCTCTCCAGCGCCAAATCTCCATTATAAATTTACCAAAGTGCCAGCTTAGTGATTCACTCCCCACCCATCAGAGGAGTAGGAGAAAAATGGCCCGGGGCCGGCTGCAATTAAGTGAATGTCCTGGCGGACGAGGATATTGAATACCCTGAGGAGTTGGCAACTTGGCACTTGCTCAAGACGCCATATCCTTTAAGCTCCAACTATTAAAGATACAATCAACGACGTTTCCAACTGAGTAGTATCACATATGCCTAGTCGCTTCAACTCCAGATAAAGTGTCTATTGTCATGTTCGAAAAAGGGGTAGCCTCTAGGCGCCTCACAACTAAGCCTTGGCGCTGAGCTACCCTGTATGCGCTTAGTTACAGCCAGGTTCACCAGCTATCATTGCAGAATGCCACCACATACGCAATCATTTCATTGCACCACTTTCACTGGCAGAAAAATTCCCAGCCAAATCCATCACCTTTAATTACTGACTAGTCAGCCTCCGTCGTCGGCAGGCCAGGTGGCAGCGCAACCAGGTTCATGGATCCGGGGACTAGCGCAACCGTCAGGAAAAGAGGGAAGAAGACATGTGGTGTGTCGCTTCGGCCTCCCCTGCAACAGGGGTGATGTGATTGAGTCTGCAGATGGGTCTGAGCGAGAAGGTGACGGCCTCTGCAGAAGCTGCATGGCGTGTCGAAGCGGATGGAACATGGCATTGCATGGCCCTTTTGTCGAGCGAGTCGAGAGGTCTCTGCTCTGCTTGGCCGAATAACATTATTAGTTATAGCGCGACATAATACCGGTCATGCTATCAATACAGATATTCTGTTTATTAGTGATCCAAGACTTTACATACCTGGATTCTTTAAGTAATTAAATTATTATCCTTCTATAGAGACTATAATAACCTTTACTTACGCGAGAAAGCATTATTAAAACATTAATTATATCTTAAATATAGGATGTTATTTTTATTTACTTCGCGACATATTAAGCTAGATATAGGACCTTAATAGATAGAAGATCGGAACTTACATTAGGCCACTATATCCACAATCACCTAGAGCCAGCCGTTCCTTTGTCCCCTCTTCTTAGCCAACTGCTCTTTACAATCTAATGATCTTCTACTTCTGAGACATCAAGTTTTTATCGTCTGATTTCTGCTAAACCACTCTGTCTCGAATCAAGGCATGTGCTCCCTTTGCCCACATCAACGTACCTATGATGAGCGACAACAGTTCAACCTCAAATCTCACCGAAGAAAGCCGCGCAAGGGCCAGGACATTAGCAAACAAGCTTTTGTTAAGCCAGTTGAACTCGAATGTGACGGCTGACTCTGCTGCCGATTTCCTTGATGTCCTGAAGCAGCAGCTGGTCTCATACCCAGCGCTCGTTCAAAACTTGACCACAGCTGCTTTGAGCCGCGATACGCATCGTAGGTTACCCTCTCCAGTCCATGAGCCAGCCTTTACCCTGACCAGTGACTTGGCCGACATCACTCATGTTCTAGCGGACGAGTCGTGCCAGAGCTGGCATCTGGAAAACATGGAAGTGAACAGCTCGCTCCCGAGCACTGGGAGTTCGTTCGGGCCCTCAACACCATTCCTGCTCGAAGCTCGTTGCGCGATTGGATCGACTACCTCCCGACGGCGGCAATTGGTAAACACCCCATCGAGTATTCGCTGGACTGCCTCATCAGCCGATGGTTAGGTTAACAGTGATATCAGTGGTCACAATGAATTGAGAAATGATCGGGTTGAACATTGCCTCTCTAAACGGACCGTGCCCTAGTGAGGAAGCAAAGATGTCATCCATCTCATCCGGCACTTTGAACCAGTGGCCTTCTAGCTCTGCTCCCACATACTCCTTCCATTCGACTTCCCATCCTCCTTGACGGAGAACATCCGCTGCTTGTCGGCCTAGTTCCACATCGACGTACACGTCGTCGCTTCTTGACCCTCATCGCTATCATACTTCAGACTGTGTATCCCTAATAGTCACATTCCTAAACCACTGCTCCCTTTAACGATACAGCGGTGCAAGATCATTAAGTGAAGCTATTAGAACACTACTAGGATCGCTAGCTTAGTAGGGTATTTAGAAGATTGAATTAATTAAATTATAAAATTATTTAATATTTTAAAAAGTTACATAGTTATTAATAATATTAATACTACCTAGAATCTCCTTTATCTACGCTTTCAGCCAGTCGAGGGGTCGAAGACTCGAATGGCCACTGCACCGCATCTAAAAAGAGAAAGGCTGAATTGCAATTGAGAACAGTTCCTCACACTGTATAGCATCCGGCTGGCTCGCTGCGGCGTGGCATTGGGATCATCCTCGTTGATCGGCAAGGTGCATTCGCAACCACGCGTCGCAGGACCTGAACCGGTCCCTTTCAGGAACGTCCATCCACCGCTCAGTCCAATGCGATCAAATGCTTGCAGCCTTGGTCGGCGAACGGTCCACACTACTCGACAGTCATCTTGGAACGAATGAACGAGAGGCCACGCTCGCTCAGACACTCATATCAGACACTGGTAAGCGACTAGCCCGCAACGAGCTGAAAGAATTACCCCATGCGTCGATCCGCAGTGGTCTCATCACAATGGGAGAGAGACATGATGGTGTGCCAACTTGTCAGGAAAGAAGCGCAGGGCCGGCGGTTTCCAGTTCCACGGCCCAGGTTTCGACGACAGCCTCGGGGGCATCCAAACCACTGGGAGCTCGTTCGTCATTCCCGCCATGGGCGTGTGCGGCAGCGAAAGCTCGGACGGCGGTGCGCATTGGGAATCCCTGGATGAAGCACGGCGCAAGCTGTGTACACGAACCAACAATATGAACCCCAGCACACGCAGCCTTCGCCCTTCCCCTCAGCTGCTTTTGTCCAGACGCATCTGTGAGGCGTACGAGGCAACGGAATCGTGCTGACACCGGACGAAGGGCAGCTGTGTGCGGCAATGTCGAGATCATAGACAGACAGCACATACCACGCCTAATTCGCCGGACGTTTCTCCCCAGTGATGACACGAGATCCCTCCTGGCATGCGGTCTCATCATTCGCAGGCACGCGAGATCTGAACCAGTTACACATGCTCTGCGGAACTCGCCCAATGTAGAAGGCTGGCCATGATCTCATGCAGGGTGCCGCTCTGTGACAGTCAGGTCGCTTGGCCGTGTACCGTTGTCTTCAGCACTAAAATTGCACGACGTTGGGGGCCTTCAGGAATGTTGGGAAACTGTAGGGGAGTCGCGGTATCAGTCGCCAGAGCAGTGTGAGAATCATGTCGCAAACTTTAGTAGATTGGGGGCCGACCACCGGCAGCCTGGCACGTCAGGGGTCTTGTCCTGATCGTGTGCATTGCAAGACACATTGCTGGGTCGAGGTACACTAAAGTTTGATGGGCTCGAGGGCGATTCTAAAAGACAAAAAAAGAAAGAAAAAAAAAAGGGAAGAAAAATATACGTAGTAAAAGGGAAAATAAGGCTGACGTTGACTAGCAAGGGACGTCAGATTAACTCCAGCACCAGAAACAAAGCTTCATCCGTTGCCTTTGGCACATCTGGCATCTCACCCCATTCTGGACCTGCGGCACTGAGCAGGGCCACCACGGCTATCAAGAACCCGGCACTCGACTGACAGCCGTCGCGCGATCGATAAGGTGTACAATATTTATCGTTCCATTCCGATGTTCACTAATTGCTGTGCTCATCAGCCGTAAACCCCGGAAGCCATTCGCGAATGCCATTCCCCTCCACGGCAATCTGTGGAGCACGATACTCGATCGGTCCGTACAATATCACTATGTGATGGTGTCTCACGTCACGCATCGTGTCTCTGCCAGGTGCCTGGATCAGCAGGTGTGCTGTTCCAGTCAGACCTGGAGTTGTTTCAATCTCGAGATTGCCGGCCTCCTCTCTTGTGCTTTGTAGGTGCCTTTGTGAAGTCTAGTGGCCCACAGAAGGGACGCTGGGCAATGGCCTAACAAACCTTCTCAAAGCCTGCTATTTCCTAACGATCCTTTCGTTTCTTGCTGGATGGACGTGATGATAATAGTAACAGCACACTGACAGCTGCCTGCTAATTAGAGGGCCACCGTTTTCGTCCACGCCATCTGCGTTCCAGCAACAAACATGGCTCAACGCGGGCTCGGTAGCACTCGGCCCTTTACTAAGACTTTGACTCGGAACGATTCCAGGAGAGTTTGTGAGTGCGCCCTGTTGTTTTCATTTCTTGCAAATCTTCAGAGGATACAACACGGGAACAAGTGCCCATTTGTTGAGCGCGCTGACAGACAGGTAGGTAGGTGCCTGGCAGGCGAGTTCCGACTCGCAAATCAACGACGCAATTGTCCTCGCACAATGAGGCGGCCTCGCGCTAATGAAGCTGCACGAGCATGACTCCAAGCCTGTCACTTGACGGCGGTCCCTGGGCCCAAGTTGATGTGATCAGTCGTGAGCGCTGCGTAATCAATTTTCCACCTGCCGCGACCAACATTCGCTTCTCTGCGAGTTGTCGAGGCTCAACGTATGTACGTATACGCATCGCATACGCACAAGCGCCCAAAGCCAAAGTCTATCGCAGATGACATGTCATGGGGCACCTGGCAAACAAGTTCGCGCTGTGGAGACGCTGTGACCTACCGGCGACTTTCCCTCGCAGGCGGCAGACCTCAAAGGGGTCGGGCGACAGCCACGTTGTCGAGGAAAGGTTATCGCCGACTGCGCACACAGTATCGACGGCCTGCAGGTGGGACCAGGGCAGGGGTGAGGATCCCCTGCCCACAGGCTAGCGGGAACAAGGCACACCTCTCTCGCGCCTAATTATTTCACAGCAGGGGCCTGGCGCCTGCGTGCGACGTGCGTGCGTCCGTGCGGATGGGAAGCGTTCTGCAGCAATACGTGCTGGCTGGTTGGCTGGCTGGCTGGTCTTGTTGGTTGGTTGCACCGCAGCGTCCATGTCTCTGCGAAACAGCTCTCGCATAGTGGCACCTGCTGTGCCATCACGACGATGGCGCAATGACCGCCTGGGCCCCTCTGCATCTCGTCCGGATGAGGCGTCTTCCTTGACGGGGCAGAAGCAAGGCCCGCATGGTGCCTCGTCCAGGGGCCGATAGTGCGCGCTGTGCATCCACAGTGATGAAGACAGTGCGCTCTCTGCGAGGGCCAAGGCGAGATCCCGTGTGTGGAGGACGATCCTGCCAAGAAATAGCTCGCTCGATTGAGAGATTGACAGAGGCTTGTCGTCGCGCGAGGGGGGGTTATTACTGGAGGGGGGGGAGGGGGGAGGGGGCCTGGACACGCTGCTGGCTGGCTGGATGATCGTGGCGGACATTTTCACGTGGCTGCGGAAGATCGCGCATGCACAAGACCGCCGTGTCTGAGTGGTGCCTCTGCACATCCTGACACAGTGCGGGCTGTGCAGCTCGCATTAGCGGATAACACCCCTCGCATGCTAAGCATGTGCTTATGCACAAACAGCAGCACATGGCGTGGCTGGCTGGTGTGCTCGGCGATGTGCACGAGGGCAAGACGAACACGCGGATGAGTGCATCTAGGGCATTGATTGTTGAGCGGGTGAGACAAGACTGGATTTGATTCAGACTGGAGGCGAAGACGATCCACGACGTGCCTGGTTAGTGGCACCGGTACATGTACGTCCAGCATGTTAGTCATGTTGGACTTGGACGTCGAGCAACGACATATAGTCTGACACGTATCCAGAAAATTGTAATTCCCAAAACCTAGGCGGAGTTTCGAAATGACGTTTCTATGCAGGCTCGGAAGGAGGTGCTGTTACCGGCAAGGTTCCGTCTGGTGCACTGGCTCATTAGTCGATGAAGCACAATGCTCAAGTTACGTACAGTCAGCCTGAGATATCCATAGTGGGGAACCCCACGGAAGCCTCAACTACTACCACGAGAGTATCAGGAGGGTCTAACCGTAGAAGCAAGAAAGCTAGAGGCGGTGTTAATTATTCAAGAAGAATTACTAACCGGAAATTGAAATGTGAAATATCACAAGATAGCCTGGCCGATCTTACAACACTGTCCGCACTGCGATTCAGTAGTAGCCTCTCATGCAGTAGTTACATCAAGTAGTTGCATAAACAGCAAGGTATACGGCGACCTCGACGCATGCAGATCATAGACGGCTTTTGCACTGGCAGCACTGCACTGCGCATTCCTTTCTTTTTTCTACGGCGACTCGATCCTTTGGCAAAAGTACAGAAGCGGCGCCATTGCCGCACCAACTCTTCCGTTTCTTTCCCCTTTGGGGTTGTCCTGGCACTGCGAAGCGCGAGGTCTATCGTCCTTCCTTCGCGTGCCATGTCTGTTTTTGAGAGGATTGTGGCGTCCCTGCACCACCGCCACCGTCTCACATGCATAACCTTTCGGCGCACTCTGGCACTTTGTAAATCGTCCGAGGTGCAGTGTGCTAGGCTGCTAGCCTGCCAGGAAAGCGTATGCTCAGTAAGGGCCGGATGCACTGGGCGTGACGTGGCGTGGCGTGGCGTGGCGTGGCGTGGCGTGGCGTGGCGTGGCGTGGCGTGGCGTGGCGTGGCGTGGCGTGGCGTGGCGTGGCGTGGCGTGGCGTCTGCTATTAGCGATAGCCTAGCCGAAACCTGCAACATGGCTAACCGCGGAGGAAAAACTCAAGCTCAAGCTCATCAATGACCAAGCTAGATTGGTTGCTCCTAATACCTTTACGTGGCTAGGAAAAGCTTGCTGGCAAGTTTGTGGCCGTTTGAAGCGACGAAGGTAAAAACAAAACATAGTTTATCCAAAGACCCTTGGGAATTGTTCGCCAGACCCTGATGCACCCTGATAATCCTGTTGGCGCACATATAGTTGAGGCTCCGAAGTCAATTGTCGAGCCAAATGCTGCAAAGTTCAAAGTCCAGCAACGAGGTGGCCGAAAAGATGGCGCCTTTCACGAGATCGCAAGCTTGAATTTGAACGTTATTTTGCGGGGGAAAAGAAAGCAAATGTTAGTATAAATATCAAGTTCGCAAAGAGCCTCAAGATGCCATACCACAGATGCATACTGGTTGTTTCTGTGCCTCTCGTACCTCCAGTCACATTACCTTACCTTACCTTACCTTACGCAATATGTTGCCGGCCCTCGCTTCGCCGCTGCCATGCCTCCTCTGAGTCTTCGACCGAGCCGCAACCCAAATGATTACGGTATGTACGCTTTTCCATTGCATAGTAGAGCACACTGTGGCACTGTGCGGCGTCCGGTCGTAAAATGGCCGACGCTGCACTGGCAGTTGCCTGTGGGCCATCCATCTCAAGCTCAGTCCCCAAACCCCTCCCCCTGCTGGCCCCACCCCCTCCCACGAGTTGCAGGGATGCCAGGCGTGTGCGTCTGCTGCTGGACTGAAAGTCTGAGCCTGCCTGCCGCCGCTGCTTTTGCGAACCGCACACAAAGTTCGTCCATCCAGTCCATTTTCGGCTCGGAATCCAGGCCAGTCATCCTGGTGAGATGGAGGCCAGCTAGCCAAGCGAGGTCCTAGCCAGGGCACGCGAGTCAAGCTGGCTGGCACGCAGAAGAAAGGCAGCCAAGGCAGGCTCCAGTCTATTCGAGGGAAAGCACCCCTGAGGCCCCGAGGACGCGGCTGCAGCTCTGAATGCGGCATTGCGTGCCTTCTCGCGGTGCCTTTGATCCTTGGGAAAAAGTTCCAGCGACGGACCTGAAGCCAGCGTTCCACGTCGTGAGGCCCGGCCCTATTTTTCATGTCCTGTGCCGGGGACGACTGCCAACTGGACTGTGGACACAAGACAAGACAGGCGTGGCCAGTGGAGACATGGGCGGGTGAGTACGTACCTCGCGTACCCCCCTAGCAGCCAGGGCACCATGGCGCTCGTGCCTGGTGCTGCCAATGCTAGCGAGCGACAAGGCCATGACGGATTGGACCTGCGCAGCCGCACAGTGCCTGGTCCAGTCCATGTCGCTCGACCGTCTCCACACACCACCGCACGCACACATGCTGCTTGCTCTCTCCATCAGCTACTAGGCTCCTTGGCTCCCGCTTCCTCCTCGATCCGTCCGTCTGCCTGTCTGCCTGCGTGTCAACGACAAGGGAAATCCCTTTCCTCTCTGCTCACGATTCCCTCAACACGATACACGCTGGAGCTTGCAACCTCACGTTCCTGTCATTGTCATTCGAGTTCTTCACGTTACTGACGCGGTACCTCGCTGCAGCCTTGCCGAGTCGTGTTCGAGGGCGATCCAGATACCATTGCGTCAATCCTCGCCCTTTTCCCTACAATCCAACAAAGCGACGACGGATCTCGAACGGGGTCAGCTGCGCCCGCTACCAGCCCTCATCAACCCCGGATAGCCAACAGCGCCAATTGACGGAACAACGCCAAGGTTTCCCTCACTGTCTTTTGAGCCCCGTCTCGATGGAGACCGCAGTGCAGCCCAGGCCACAGCCGCCCAAGAGCCTCAACAAGCTGTTGAACAACGATGAGCCTCCCGCCAATGGCACGTCGCAGCTGCGGGATTCAGGCTTCTACTCGACGGGCGACATTTCCAGCAAACGTTTGTCATACCATGCATGCCCACGGTGGCTGTCTTGAATCAGAGCAATCATGCTAACAAGCTCCGTCACAGACACATCATCAGCATCCTTCAACAGCCACGGTCTGAGCCCTGCCGCCTCCGGGTACCAGTCATCAACCGACAAGACTCCCTCGCCCATCTCCGGCCACATGTCCACAAACCACCCTGTCATCTCGCCGACGGCGCCCAGCATGAGCGTCGCCCACATGGTCTCGCCAACGGCAACGCATGCCCCAGAGTACCGTCCGCTCCACCACCAGCGTTCCATGGACTCGGGCCACAGCTCGGCAACGATGGACGGCGCAACGCTAGCGAGGCGCGAGAGCGTGGACAGCAGGATCAACCAAGGCATATCCAACATACAATTGAGCAACAGCAACAATAACAACTCCCCCTACACCAGCCACAACCCTTCGACGACCTCCTTCCAGAGCACACTGCACTCGCAGCGCAACCCCCGATCAGGGCTCGAGACGCCGCCAGTCCACCGAATCTCCAACGGCTACGCGCCTCACAACGAAAGGAATCCCGACGCCAAGTACCCCCGGACGGCTCCGACCATCACCGGCCCGACTACCAGTCACATTGCTCGTGCGGCCGAGCCCGTCAAGGGTCAGGCATGGGCTTTCCCCGAAGACCGCGAGGACCCACGCTACAGCCAGCACTCGGCCTACGACCTGTCTCGTCGCAGCAGCATCTCCGAGTCCATTGCCAGCAGCCAGTTCACCGCCGACTCACGTCTGCCCCCCGGGCAACGCCGGCTTGACGATGGCCCCTCACCACCGGCGGTGCCGGAGATTCCGCTGCAGCATCGACAGGTGTCTGGGCTGCAGGATGATGGCATGACAGGCAACCAGCCCTACAGCCGCACGCCCGAGTTGCGCGTCAGCCACAAGCTGGCCGAGCGCAAGAGGCGCACGGAGATGAAGGAGCTGTTTGACAACTTGCGCGACCAGATGCCCCAGGAGCGAGGGACTAAGGCGTCCAAGTGGGAGATTTTGACAAAGGGTAAGTTTCGGCTGGCCGATGCGTGGATGACGAGGGGCCATGTACTGACTGATCTCTCGCAGCTATCGAGGAGCACAAGTACCAGGCAAGCCTGATTGCGCAGCTTCGCCACGAGAACAGCAAGCTCCGCCAGGAGAACGAAGCCATGCGCAGTCAGATGAGCGGATACCGCGTGGAGGCACCACCCGCGTCAGCACATCACGCCGGGGCGCCGCCGCCGCCTCCACAGCCACATGCGAACCATGCCTCGTACGCTCCGGAGTACAGCAGCGGCAGCCGCACAGAGCTACCCCCTCTGCGGTCTCTCGGGCCAGACAACATGACGGGCGTTCAGTACGAGGGTACCCCTAACGGAGCCGGGTATCGTCATGCCTAGAGGCGCGTCTGTCTGATCTGATCTGGTCTGATGCAGCCCGACAACATTGGTTCGATTCGTGTTACATTTATTGCCCCTGCTTGACTGGGGTCCCTTTTGGAGTTGTACTTGGATATCCGGACACGCGTCGTGCCGATTCCGCACACGAGGGTTACAGCCACCTCGACATTATCGTCATCTTCTCCTTTGTTTTATACATTCTGCCGGCGCCGACGGATCAGGGACGGATGGATAACTCTCCAGCGACGGTCAGGGGATCGGATGACTATGAGGACTTGGGAGGCAGCCGACGTGGTGTGGGCCCCCAGTCCAGGTTTATGTATGCTCTTTTCATGGGATGGGAATTGGGACACTGGCCACGGGACGGACTGTGGCCAGCAGCGTGAGGACAGTCGAGGAGCTTTATACCCATGTGATTTGCCAGCGAACGGTTGGTGCAGTTGACATGTGACAACGTGACGTGTAGTGACAGCGCAAGGGTCATTTCTGTGACTCCGCATGGCTAGGAGTATTAATAGTGAATACGTGTTCACCGGACCAAGGAGCTGATTTGCCTTGCATCAGCGTACGGACTCGGGAGTCGTTGGGTGGGTGGTTGCGGATTTTGCGGACTTTGGGACTGGACTAACACCCGAAGCGGACAAGAATCCCATCGGAGCGGACTTGTGCTGACAGACCGATGGACAGACGACTCAGCACCATCTCAACGACGCCCGCGTGTCAGTCAGGGCCTTGGACATTTGTCCTTCATTCATCCCTCATTTTCTATCACTTCAAGTTCACTGTCTGCAAAGGAAGACACTGGACGCCATTGAGAACCACACGCAATGGACGAACCGTTCCTGTTCACGGCGAGCAAGCGCCAGGACCGCCAGGGGGCTGCCTCGCGACAAAAGAGCTGCAACGCATGCGTGCGCGGCAAGAGACGCTGCGACAAGACCCTGCCCCGTTGCACGCGCTGCGCAGCTAAAGGTCTCGAGTGCGTGTACGCAAAGCTGCCGCCCGGCGCGCCAGCGACGTCCACGTCAAGCCCCACCGAGGAAGAGGAAGAATCATCCATGAGCAGTGCCGCGACCCATGTCGACGACTACTCCATGGGAGGCGCCTTTGAGATGCCCTCGACATACGACATGCACCTGGATGCGGCGGCGGCGTGCGGCGGACCGTCGACGTCGGCGTCGTCTACCCAAGCAGGGACACTCGAGCTCGACCCCAGCCTAGACTTCAACATTGCCGACCTGATCCAGGGCAACACGGGCGACTGGAGTTTGCCGCCCTTTCTGGAGGAGCCCAAGATGAACTTCCCCGTGCCAACAATGTTCCAGCCCGCCCCGCCACCGGCCCCGGAGCCGATCCGCGACATCATGATCCTCCGCAACGGCATCGCCCGGGACGAGTGTCTGTCTGCGGATCCGCTGCTGGTGCACGACAAGCGCACGGTGGTGGGCTTCGTCCACGACTGGGTCCGGGGCATGCCCGACGTCTTTGCGCGCACGCGCCTACTGCCCTTTATCCACCCGCGTCTGTACGCCGGCAGCCTCCCGCGACCCATGATGGCCGCCTTTGGCGCGTGCGCGGCCTACAGCGGCCGCACCGAGGCCACGCGACCGTGGGTGCTCAAGCTGGTGGCCGACACGGCGCGGGAGATTCTGCACGAGGGCAAGGTGGCGACGACGCCGCTGGAGAAGATGGCCCGTCTGCAGGCGCACACCATTGTGGACACGATCCGCGTCTTTGACGGGGACATTGCGCTGCGCAGCGCGTCGGAGCGCGAGCGGGACGTGCGCAAGGCGTGGCTCATGGACCTCCTCCAGGTCAAGGACGAGCTCGAGCGCGAGGAGGGCGTCGTCGTCGGCGAGGCCAAGAGGGACGAACCGCCCCGGAGCTGGGAGAGCTGGATCCTGGTCGAGAGTGTTCGTCGGACGATTCTCATGGCTCTGGCGTTCCACTGCCTGGTGCAGGTCCTCAAGAGCGAGATGCGTGAGCCTTCCTTTTTCTTCAGTTCGTCGGTGGACGTGTGTACTGACGTTTTCTCTCTAGCGGACCCCGACATGTGGCCGAACGGGCACGATTTCACGGCGTCCAGCCATCTCTGGAACGCCCAGTCCCCGGTCGACTTCTTCCGCGCGTGGCGGGAGAAGCCGCATTGGTGGGTGAAAGATTTCGGGTTTGATGCCTTTTGGCAGTACGCGAGGGCGGAAGATGCCGATGAGTTTACGCGGCTCTTCCTGACGTCGTGAGTCTCTCCGTTTCCCTTTGTGTGAAGGATGTGAAGAGCAGCACGCTGACTTGGATGGACAGACACGTGGGGCCCGATACCATGGATGAATTCATGTCGACGAAGCAGGTATCAACCTGAGAACATATATGTCCTAACCTCTGGAGGCAGATGGATCTCTAATTATGTACGATATACTATCGGGAGTTCTTCCACGTAATATGTACAATATACCCAGTTCGGCTCTCGTCCTGGCGGGTATTGGTGATGGGTAGACAGTCCGCCCGCCTGAATGCAGACAACCTCTCACTCCTCCGCCACCCTCCAAACCAGGCGCTCTCCGCTGGCGGCCCGTTGCCGCAGCAAATCGAGCGCTTTCTGCGCTCGCTCCAGCAGCGAGGCGCCCTCGACGAGGCGATAGTTGTTCGGCTTGACGATACCCTGCGCAAGCAGAGAGGGGACAATCTCGGACTGGAGCGTGTCCTTGAAGAACTCATTCTGTCAGGGGTTTATCATCAGCTACTTATTCGGCAGAGAAAAGGGGAAAACAAGCAACTTACCTCGAGATAAAAGTGCGTGCGCACACCTCTGAGTATCACGCCCTCGGCCCATTCTCCCGGAAGGACGTTGGCTGGGTTGCTTTCATACAGAGGTTCCTCTTCCTCCGTGGCATCCCTGATGATCATCGGCAACATGATCGCCACGCGGGTCCCGTTGTGGGCGATTTTGCTCAGCGGCCGCAACGTCCCCTCGACAGACCCGATGCAGTCGATGATGTAGGGGACGCCCGCAGCACCAATGTGTTTCACAATAGCAGCCTCGACACCAGGCTTGGTGTAGTCGAAGCAGACGGTCGCACCGAGACTTCTGAGATTGTCGTGATGTCGACCGCTCGAGACGGCGATGAGGTTCCTGTACCCCCAGTGGCGGAGGACTTGCAGAGCGTACATGCCCACGCTGCTGCTGGCGCCCCAGATCAAGATGGCAGCATCCGCAGCCTTGGGCGTCCATCCGGACGGAATGGGCCACGGCAGATCGAGACCCAGATCCTTTGTGACGGTGTGGAAGACAGTCACCAGGTTGACCGACACGGTCGACGCGGCGGGCTTGCTGATGCCCTCTGGGATCCTGGACACGAGATAGGCCGGCACGGTCACGTACTGCTGTGTGTTGGCCATTTTGTCGCTGCCCCACGCAAAGCTGATGACGCTGTCGCCCACGCGGAGACCCTTGAGGTCGCCCTCGCTCGCCGTGGCGACGACGGTGCCCGCGACGCCGCCCGTGCCGACGACAAAGGGCCACGAGGAGACGACCAGGCCGCCGTCGGCCATGTGCAGGTCGAGCGGGGAGGAGGCGCACCACTCGACGCGGATGACGACCTCGCCAGCGGTAGGGGTGTGTACGGGGACGGTGGTGAGGGTGAGTCGTGCGCGCCGGGCCGGTGCGGCGACGGCGGACTGCGTGGATGGGAGTTGGGCGGTTGTGGTGGACATGGCGTTGGTGGTGATGTCTGGTGGGAGGGGATGTATTGAATCTAAGGAATGTGCTTCTTGTTGGGCTTGCGAGAAGACCAGCGAGGCTTTGTACTCATGGCGACTCTGACGAACTGGTTTATATGGTTAGGTGTTGACGTTGAGTGTAAGTAATAAGTGTCTTTGTAATCTGGGCTACATGATGGTGGGGAGTCGGAAGTCGGCGGAGACGGTTGTCGTCAGATGATGCAGTGTGCGTGTGTATTTGTCAACAGCTGTTGTATGCGAGAGCCAGAACTATGTACAATTCAATTACGTACCTAAAAAGCCAGACTAAAAAAAGTGTCTGGTCCACTGCTGGACAATGTCTGGTTGATTCTGCGTTGGTGATGATGGAGACCCCTGCTCGTGGATTTGTCAGATTCTCGCGAGTTGGCCAAGCCTGCGCGTCTCTGGATCGCCTCGCCCGCCATGCTACTGTAGCATTGACTTTGATGAGCAGTCAAGTAGTTTGGAGTGGGCATTTTTAAGCCGCCCTTCTGACTGTGTCTAAATATATAGCGACTGCGCAAACTTGGTAGATACAGAAAGGCCACTGGGAGTGACCAGGTTCATCTAGTTACCCTGCACCTTGTCCATTCTCGCACCATGCACTGTCCTTTACGAATTTCAATCACCTTCAAGAAGGTGTACGGTACCTGTTGAAGTGGCCACGTTTTGAGAGCTGCTTTTCAATGCAGTCCTATCCCAGAGGGCGTCGTCGCTGGTCACGTTTGTGTACCTGTTCGGCTCTCTGCTCGTCTTGTTTCTTTCGACCACCGTCCTCTTCGAGTCAAACCGACCCTTTGATCTTCGTTAGTACTTCACCGCCTGGGCATCGAGCTACGTGCTAGACTAGATTCACTAAAAATTCTACTTTAGTGTCCGCGTGAGGTTTACGCCGCTTTGGTTCTTCGCGCCATGCCAGTCAAGAATTTGATGCTGACAGGACGATGGATGGTATCTCAAGCTCAGCGTTTGCCCACTGACGGTGATGACACGATCCAGCTGTGGGAATTGATAGCTGCGGGCCGCTGGAATTGTTGCTCCGCTTCCGACAGCCTGGCGTGACCATGTCAGAGTATCCGTCCGTAAAGGGCCCTTGGACGGTCAGAGGCGAAGTATCGAACCCAGTGCTTAATCCAGTCAAAATCAAGACCCGCGATCCCGTGTCTTTACTAGCACCGTCTGCCTCATTGCTGTCATCCGTGACCCGATGCTCCACTGGGGCATGATGAGTGTTAATGGAGACATGTCATGGGTGCCACGCCCAACCTTGATTATACTTGCCATCCGGGAGAGATGGGAAAATCGTTCGACTCGAGCATATTGGTAGATTTCGGAAGACAGTTGTTCTCCAAGCATTGGCAATGGGGATGGATCAGACTCACCATGGGGAATACACTCGTGAGCTACAGTGGATATCGTCTACTACGTATAGCCTCTATTGTAATTTGTGCTGCTTAGTATGTAAGAATTCACGTGCAGCAATTCCGATAACTCGCAGCAGGTCGGTGCATGCGTTCGAACGTACATACTGGAAAATTGGAAATTTGGATAACCGAGTGGCCAAGCCTTTTCTGTTAGGGGACTGGAGTTAATTCATGGGCGGTCTAGTCCTTCCCCGGGGTCTCATCCTACTGGTTATGCGGCCCCGTAGCACTAGCACCGGCCCCGCCGCTCAAGTCCACGACTGGACTCAGTACCCGCGGCAGTGCATATGCACTAAGGCGATTTTCCACTTCCCAAGCGCCTTCCGTGTCGGCTCCAGTCACTCTAATTAGTCTCTACAGACGCTGAACTCCAAAACTGCCTCGATGCTTCGATAGAGCGAGCAACCTTTGCCAACATGCTACTCCGCATAGGCCACTGGCGCCGGCCTACGTTCATCGTTCTCGTGTTGACCAGCTCATCCCTAGTGATTCTGCTTGCCCTCTGGCATTACCGATATCGTCCTGTGGACTCGATCTCATCTTTTCTACATCCGAGCGCAGCACCAAAACCCTCGTCGTCCGAGCACCCGATACCACCCGTACCTCACGAATGCTCGAAGCTGCATTTCAACCGTCCGCAAGGGGAGAGTCCTGGTCTCGCGGTAGCCCTCTCCCCGGGCGAACTTCTTTGTCGCCCCGTCGACCACAACACGCCTGGCATCCCCAAGCTCTTGCACCAGAGCTGGAAGAACAACGAGCTTCCGGCCAAGTTTAAAAGATGGAGCAAGGGCTGCCGTGCCCAACACGCCGACTGGGAGTGGGTACTTTGGACAGATGACGATAATCTTAAACTTGTCCAGACCTACTTCCCTTGGTTGGAAGAGACCTTCCTTGGGTTGCCGGGCCCTATCTACCGTGCAGATTTCGCCAGGAACTTATACATGTATATGTTTGGAGGGTATGCTCAACCGCATTGCCTTGTAGAGCCGCCTGGAACAGGAACAGGGCTAACGGATTCGTAGGGTTTACATCGATCTCGACACTGACTGCTTGCGACCGACCGATGAGGCGCTCGCGCCGTTCCGCATTCCCGTCGTTGATGCGACTAATACAACATCCAGCGACGAGCCCGTGAACCGTAGAGGCATAGCCGTCTTTGGACGCCTAGGATCAGACGAGACATTTCAGCACAGTATCCCAAATGCATGGATGGCTTCGTCGCCTCGACACCCGTTCTTCTTGGTGCCCATGTACACCACTAAAGACGTAGTTCAGAAGCGGAAAACAATACTGCATCGGCTAGGAGGCACCCCATCTGCCGAGCACATCACTGGACCCATCGCTCTCAAGGAGAGTATACTCCGCTGGAAGGCATCTCTGAGGGACTTGTGGGATGAAGTTGTGCTCCTCCCACCGCACATGGTATACCCCTACAACTGGAAGAAGCCAGGTGCACTTGGTGCGATCTGCTCCGCCATGTTTGCGACATTAGATGAGGCCTTGTGCCAGGAGAAGTTGCGGGTTAAGGAGAAAGGGAGCCTGTCTGTCACATACTGGAGCAACACACACAAAGGCACCGGGCACAACGATAAAACAATTGCACAGGTCAGCCAGGATAAGTAAATAGCGGTGTTAATGTCGGAAGTGTGTGTCGCTCAATCAAGTGGCAGTCTTCATGGGGTTGATTCCTTTTCTTTCCTTTTCCTGTAAGCGAACCCGACAGTTGGCTTGGCCTGCTAAGTAATGGTCATGGCAGCGTGGCACTGTTACCAGAATGAGGGGGCGCGCGGAAGGCGCGCCGAGAGAAAGTACTAGTATGTAGTAGTAATCGCTTCGCAAACCTGCACTCGTACTGACTTGGCATGCTGCCCGCGGTCGAAACGCCCCGAGCACAGCTGACTCGGACCCTCAGTAGTGGGTACTCAGGGAGCGGTTCATACTCGCACTCAGTACGGATACTACTATAGGTATATGCAGTCTGAGATGGTCAGAAACATGGTTAGCAAGAAGAGCATCAGCCAACGCGGCAGGCTTGGCGCTCGCTGTCAGCAATGCTTGCGCCCCGACGAAAGTAAATATTACTTACTACCTACTTACACTAATAATAAAGTTAATAGGTGTCAGGTACCCAACACTTATGTACTTAAGTATAGTACTTATCTGGCAAGGCGGGCCGCACACGGCACGGCGCGGTAATTACTAGTACGTACGTACTCCGTGGACCATACTATGTTCGTGTTGGCGCGTTCGTAAAAGTGGCCCCGCGGAAGTTCGGAATCACCGCCAAAATGATCCCTATGGGTCATGCACACATCGTATCATGGGTACCTGGTAGAATTACGGCTGGCAACTTCCTGGCTCTCCGCCTGCTTCCGGTCTCCGGTGTCCGTTGTCTGTAGCTCCTACTATTTGCAGGACAATGGCCAACTTCTTCAATTGAAATTCAGATAGCTCAAACGAGTAATCTTGCAACAGGTGCCAAGCAGCCAAAGACGGCTAAAGTCACTGGCGTCCTAGACCCGAAATCATGTGCGCCAAGGCCTGCCGCGGTCCCCAGCTGAGACAAGAAGGTACAAAAGTGCCATTCTAATACTGTGAACATGGGCGCCAAATTTGCCAACTCGCTACGTTGTTATAGAACCAATCACTACTCGTATATGTGTGGAGTACATAATCACGCAGGTAGGTTAGAGCCTACCGTAATAGAGGCTTAGAGCCAACTGCATATGTACGTATATATGCAGTTGGCTCTAAGCAGGTAGCGGAGACAGGCTCGACAGGGTCATCGGGGCGACCTATCGGATCTAACTAGGGTTTCCGAGCCACGGTACCTTATTATTAGGTAGTCTTCAGCGGCAGGCCGCAGAACCAACTGCATATGATTTTCATCGTATAGCGGTGACTACGTTGCGGACGACCGGACATACTCCGTACCGCCGCATCTGTTCGACAACTTCAAAAGCATTGCTGGTCTTGAGCCTCTTGGCTGATCCACATCCGCATCACACATGGACATGGTTCCATGTCTGTTGTCGAGTGAGATCTCCTCCACATAGCCCCGGTCTAAAGCGGTGCCGCTTTGATCAACAAGTCAATGGTATGCTGAAAGACTGCATAGTCGGGTTTCACAATATCCGTGTCCCATCAGTTTGAAGCTTGAACAAGGGATCAATTGCACATATGGGAATGAGCACATCTTGCACATTCCTTCCCAGTAGCAGTCTAAAACAGCAGAGCTTATGGAATCAACAATGCCACCAGATGGGGTTTGCTGTCGACCGCATGCTGCAACGTCAGGGGGTTTGGCAAATCCCAGTCTCCGACGGCAGAACCAACTGCATGAAGGAACCTTGACGAGTCCCATGATCTCTAATAGTGCGATGGAGACATCAGCTACGGACTGGAGTCATCGCTGTTCATGGCTTCAGGCTCCAACCTCGGGCACATACTACCGCCTGATCCTAGTCACAATGAGGCATTATCAACATGAATGGTACCAGCAAGCTACCAGTCAGTCGCCGGTCACCTCACGTCGATGATCTGTTTGCTTCTGCCAGTCACGAGGAATGTAGAGCTCATAGACCCGCCGAACAGCAAGTATAAAGGGCAGCTTGTTTCGTCCCACGACTGTCTCTATTTTCAGTAACCTATCCTTCATCCCTTTGCTTCTACCCCGCAGCAGTCATCCGCTTCTCTTCCCCAAGATATCTCCTATCCCATTGTCCTTCTCAAGATGCTCTTTTCCCCGGCCTTCTTTAGCCTTTTCGCTGGCGCCTCTGCCATTGACATCTGGCTGAATTGGAACACCAGCAACTGCAAAGGCAGTAACAGCATCCATTGCGCGAACATCGGCCCCGCTACGTGCTGCGCGATTTCAGGCCAATCTGGAAGCCCCTTTACTAGCATCGCCTTCCGAGAGATTCCTAGCAATTGGAATATCGAAATGAGGGGCCACCAAGGCAGCCAGTGTGGTCGACACCGTACTACTCAAACCAGCGGTGGCCGTACGGAGCTTTGCATGGGAAGTGGACCATACGGAGGAGGTGGCTATAGCTTTGTCAACAAACGCCGCTCAGACACTGTCGACCTGCAAGAAGAGTGCACTGATGTGGTGAAGCCTGACATCGTGGCTTTCACCGACGGCATTCAGTACAACATCACCCAGCTAGACGACGATTCTTTGGCTGAAATGGTAACAAATAACCCTTCACTCTTTTGAGTTCCCTTTGAGAAACATATGCTAACGATATAATCGTATAGTTAGTGAAAACGTCTTGGCATCCGAGCTTTACATGTCTCTCCCATCCCCATCCCCTTTCCGCGGCCGGCGGGGGGGGGGGGGGGGGGGGGGGGGGGGGGGGGGGGGGGGGGGGGGGGGGGGGGGGGGGGGGGGGGGGGGGGCGGGCGG